CAGGCCCGGACTCTAGAGAGAGAGAGAGAGAGAGAGAGAGAGAGAGAGAAGAGTTTTGAGTTGTTTAGGATTCACTTTATTGAAACGGCCCCGAGTAAGGAAATGGTTAATGGATAGTTAACTTGTTCCAGAGGAACAGCAGAAGCTGAACTCCCGCGTTTGGAAGGAAGGGAAAAAGCTCAGAGAGAGTGTCAGAGCGGGAGGGGAGGAGGAAGAGGGAAGAGCCATGTCCTTCTCATTCTTCAAGCCGTCCAAGCCGAAGTCTACACCGGTGGAACTCGCGAGGGCGTTGAAGGAATGCCTTCTGAGCCTTGACACGCAGACTGTTGCGGATGCTAGAGCGCATGAGAAGGTTTGCGCCCGTTTCTTGGGCTGATGTTTGTCGCCGGCCTTTGTGATTGTAGTCAATTTCGCGGTGTTATGTAACATCACAATGATTTTATATTTTCAGTTGAAAATAAACTTTTCCGACATTTTATTTCGAATTATTCGTCAAAATGCAGCAGTCGGTTAGCTAATTTTTTTGTCACCATGCGAAGCTTCTCCGTCTACCGCCAGGGTCTAGATCGATTTTGGAAGACTAATAAAAAAAATTCTTTCTAAATCGTTGTGGCGATTGGTAATGATGGCGTCGGACTATCGGAAATTCTTTCCCATTGACCTCGGAAGAAACTAACTTATGCACCGAAACATGATAAAGATCAACGACACTCAGCTTATGTACGTCACACTTTTTGGATTTGTGGTAAATTTATGGGTAAAACAAATTTTTCTACACGGGCAAAAATGTAGAAACTGAGATTTCATTTCGTCCAGACATACGATTAAATTTTGCTCCAAACATGTCCTTGGATTTGATTCTCCTCTAGTGGTTTTACGTCACCCTCTTGAAGACTAATTTGGTTTCTCTGCTACACTCATCTGTTAGGCTTTTCCAGTTAGTTTAGTGGAGGGAAGGGAGAGAAGAATGGAGAACAAGTTCCACCAATTGAACATAAAAATTGTATCAAGGCGATCAGATTCTGATCAACTTGAAACATATCAAGTTGTATTTTCACTCTAAGCTACAATATCTGCTAACATCGAATTCTTCTCATCAATTTCAGCAACCAAAATTGTTGCCCGCACAGACACATACTTTGTATATTTCGTAGCCCTAGTAGGAGTCATATGTTCCCATCACGTTTGATCCCATTTGACCTAATAGGAGCCATAGATTTCCTAGCTTTTTAATGGGGATATATGTATGCATATATATATATATCTATAAATAATGCTATTTTCTGTTTGTTACTTCATTCCCCGACTTTTAATCTGCCTCTCTGTATAAATTCCCCCCATCAGGCTGAAAAGCTTCATAAGATTCTCCCTGAGGTAACAACATTGCAGATCAACTAAGGATTCGTACATATCTTTTTCGGTGGTTTTTCATCGTACACAGAGCAATTTCGTTATTTTTTCAATGCCAATGTGGTTTGCTTGAAGAAATGGTGGGATGAGAATTACCAAAAGACATAAAGTACATCCATTTTATGAGACTGATAAGAAAACACGAAAACAAGAAAAGCAGAGAATGATCTGAATTCACAAAAAGCAAAAAATCAGTAATTCTCCTTAATATAATTATCATACGTTGTTCAATGGGAACATAAAAAGTATCACCTCCTGTGGCGTAGAATTTCGACAAAAGGCCTGTGCAAGGAGCCAGATAAGAGGAAATACATCCTCCAGCCAGCAAATGACAAATATAACAACTTGCATCTGAAAAAGCTTCCAAGAAATCATCCATACATCAACGGAAAATCAACTTGAGTCCAGCCTACAACTCCATCACTCTCAAAGGCCCAGTAAGCCTGGCAATTCCAGCGGTTTCACCACATTAGAAGATAAAAGTTTTGGTTAAGCATTTTTTGTTCTACATCATTTCAAATGACTCGTATTTATCCTTTGCATGCAGATACTCTTTCTCATACTCTGCTTTATCTCTTTTGTCTATTTCCTTCCAAGCCTCTGTTATCTCACTGATCGAAAGAAATAACCATTTTTGCTCTATGATCACCTTGATAATGCCAAAATAACTATTTCTATGGAATATGCTTCGTTTATGACCCAGCCAAATGTGACTGAATTGTATAGCTTCCTACGTAAGCATTTCAGCCAAAGTTATCTAGATGATAGATGATAACTTGGCATCATGAACCCTTACACTGTTCGGCTATGTCCCTCCTTGCTTCTACGCTACTTATAACCTGTCTGTACTTTTTTCTGGGTATCCAATCTAGAGCACCTTGATGAGAGTTCTAGACATTCATATTTGCGTTTTTGAATCGGTAGCTTTCTTGTATGTTTTACACTCTTTAACAGTCAGTGCCTGTGATCCAGCACCAACAACAGCATTTGTAGTTTGCTCTAAGATCAACAGCACCGTGCACGTGGAAAATCATGATCTACACCTATCTCCATTTAGATGCCAGGTTTCTGTTGATTATTCTTGTTATATGGACTCTAGTGCGTAGTAATCAAAGATCAATTATTGCATCCACTCCAATTTGTTCTCAACTTCATGGCAGTTAGATGCAGACCTACATTCCTCTATCTACATTGTACTAATGGCACTGATGTTGCATTATCTTTGGAATCCTCTACCGGTTCTCTTTTTTGATAAAGCCACTTTTGAACTATAAGTAAACAATGAGATACTCAACATTCATTTTTCAAGACAGGGAGAATCCGGGCTACCTCGTTGAGATCCCTGGGCAATGTCTAGGGGATAGAAATCTGGACATATTTCCCCTATGCCATCTCAATCTCGACAAAGTCTCCTTTTTGGGTGCTAATTATGTTCCTCTGTTAATTATTAAAGAAGGAAGGCTCAGTTATCCATTTTATCCCCCATCCTGAAGTACTATTTTGTTTGGGTGCTCCTTTGATCACTGCACTGTGGTTCAACTAGTACATCTTTTGTTATTTGTCCATACCTCCAAAAGGATAAGCTCATGGCTAGGTTCTTAGTCTTTCCATTCTAAACAATTGAAACCACTTAATCCTATCAGATTGCATCTTGCGGTTCACCTGTAAACGTGAATTAAATAAATCTTATTTCTTACAATCCCTCTCCAAAAGTATATATTTTTCTTGAGGCTTGGCATACTTTATTTTATTTTAACGAATTAATTATCAACTTGAATTATTCAAAGAATTTTGCATGATATTTTTTTCTAATAGGCCCTAGAAGATGTTGAAAAGAATTTTGTTGCAATGAGGCAATTGCTCTCTGGTGATGGAGATGTTGAACCAAACGAGGAGCAAATTCTGCAGTTTGCACAAGAAATGTGCAAGGAGGATGTCCTTTCTCTATTTGTTCACAAGTTATCGATGATAGGATGGAATGTAAGTTTTAGCTTCTGAGTTCATAATTGAGTTTATTTTGATGAATGCTTTGAGATCAAGGATGTGATCATGCCAACAGTCTAGGAAAGATTTAGCTCATTGCTGGGGAATTTTGTTGCGGCAAATGGTTGGCTCTAACTATTGCTGTGTTGACTACATTGAGAACCACTCAGAACTGTTGGATTTCCTTGTAGCTTGGTAAGCTTTAATCTGTTTATTAAGTGACACTTTCGGCAGTTCTGTTCACTTAGATATCCATGATAAGCTTTTATGCTGTCCATTCTTTATCTTTTATTTTTATATACTTGTACTACTTCCTTTTTGCTCTTTCTTTCGTTAATAACAAGGAATTGACTATGTGAAGTTTAATATTTGTCGATTCTGCTAGAAGTTTCTCCCGTTCTTACTGTTCTGCGTTAATGTACTGTAAGTATTATGATCATCCCATTTTTTATGCATTCAGTTATCTGGAATATATGCTGACCATGGAACATGTGAATATATTTTAACTAAATATTTTGATGGAAGGGTGCTGGTTATCTGTTATGTTCTGAAGGGGCAAGTAAACATGTGTGATTAATAAATTTCAGAGACTCTCATAGTATTTCCTGTGATAGCATGAAAGGCAAGAAAAACCAAATCTTATAAACTAAAGCATGGCGGAGGAAACCACGTGCAAATAAACCCGCACCAAGATAAAATCGACATGAGTTGAGAGTCTTTTGCTATGAACTGTTGGGCACCAGTGCAAAACTACTTCATTTCCTCCAAGGATTCTGAGTGAGGCAGCCCGCTTATGGTAACATAAGGAAGCAAATGGAAAACTTCAGTGTCATGGCAAATAAATGCTTTGAACTGCAGGCTGATAATGCAGAGAACTATGATCTAATATAGTTTAAATAAAAGACTAAACCAGTGAAGGAGCATGCAATTCAGCAGTCAGGAGGCAAACTTCTTTGTGATGGAAAAGAAAATTGTCTTTTGGGGGCAATCATAAAACCAACAGAGTTAATGTCTTTGCTTAGAGGTAATGACGTTACCATTGCATGTTGCAAATGTTTGTTTCACATTGACGATTCATTATCTATAACGCCAAGTTATTAATCCTCATGCTTTCTTTATAATTTATTCTTGCCCTGAAGCATTTTGCTGTTTCTATTTAGCTAAAATTAATGCTAGGCTGCTGTGGGTTGGTTGAGATCTGCGTCAGTGATGCTGTCATGATTTTGGGCTCTACAAAGCTTCTCGAGTCTAGTTGTCTGGAAATTCACATGTTTCTGAAATGATGGTGTAGCTTGGATTCATTATTTAATAAAATAAGGACTATGGCTCATCTCTGTGAAAAGCCCTTCAAAACCATTCACTGAATCGTCTTCAGTTCTTCTCGATTTTTGAGGAAAATTGAGATAAGAGGGGGCGTCTCTAGTGTTTAAACATCTTCTTGTTGCACATACATTTTATGGGAACTATCATCTTATGTTTGTTTTATTTATTTCCGAGTGGTCTTACATTTTTTCCGACCATCTCAAGTGAATGTATGACAGTAACGTATTTTTAAAGTATTCCTCGTGGAGACAGACTGAGATAAGTTTCATTTACGGAATTATAGCAATCGTCCATTTATTTTTATCTTGTTGATTATTTGGATTTTTTAATGTAATATTGTGGGCTTATTTTGTGTACTTATTTCATTAAATGACTGTTATGATTAAAGTAACACAATCCTGTAAGCTAACTGCAGCATATGACCATGTCAAAATATCGTTCTAAGTGATCAGATGCCATAAGCAATCTTAGCCTTTGAATGATTGTGTCATACTCATTGCGCCTGTCACTCTATCATGAATGATAAGAGCCACCACAACAGATATGGACTAACCTGGTGACTGTACCACTCATATTTCACTTAACCTTGTCCAATTACATGACATTCCAATCCCATTTCCATGGTTTCTTTGGTGGAAAGGTATGTTACACAGTCATTTTCATTTCTCATCTTCCAGATGAACCAACAATAATTTATAAGATGGTATGCACCTTTCTTTGTTGATCTTCCTTTCAACCTTTTTAGATTTCTAATGGAGGCTAGATCTGTTGGGTTCTATGTCATTCATTTTTTCTGCTAATGTCCCAAAGTGTCCTTTATGCAGTTTTCCTTGGGAAATATTGATACGCTTTTTCTTGACACTAATCTTGGCGATGTGTGACATGAGTAATGAGAATGAATAGTGTGTTATTAATGTTCTTTCAATCTGAGCTGTTGAACATTCTATAACTGTCAGTGGAACACCTGTTATAGATAGATTTATGTTTCATTGAGAAGCAACCAAAGGATCGTATAATGCACAGGAACTTACCTTTTGATGTGTCCAGTCATCGTCTTCACATCATAGGCATCATGTGATCATGTTGTTGTTGACTCACTCCCTTCGTTCCCGCAACATGATCATTTTTTTTCTCTTTTCAGATGCTTCCATGGCGTTAGCTTATGTGTTTTTCATGGTTCATTTCTTGCTTCTCCTTCCTGTTTGTATGGCGCTAGAGAACTGTTTATATCCGAAAGTATTAATATCTATGGCTCCTTTCTGTTTGTATAGCACCAGAGAACTGTGCACATCCAGTCAAGCTGTGTCATCGTCTAGGAGTTGAAGCTGGGACATATTATCCAGTTTTTTGTTTTAAGATTTTTAAGGGTATCATAGCTCGTTGTGTTCTTTCTACTCAGTCCTCTTACATCTCTGTCTGCATGAGCCCAGCCCGGGAGGAATGAATAGTTCCCTGGTGCCGCCTTTAATTTGAGAATTTCATTTGGCTTTTTGATGGAGATGGAAAAGCATTCCCTTCCGACCGATGGGGAATGGAATGACCTACAATTTTTGCAATTTTAGTTTATTTGTGCTGTTTTTTCTTTAAGGTTAGTCTTTAATTACTAAAATGCCATATGATCTCATGACCCTATAATTGTTCTGACATAGATGTATCCTGAACAGCTGCAATAACAAAGATGTTGCCTTGACTTGTGGAAATATGTTGAGGGAATGTATCAAATTTCCAGTACTTGCAAAGTAAGATTTCGATATGTTTTATATGGTCCCATGTTGATTTGAATTATTGTGTTTTTAAAATACATGTTCTGTATATTGTGTTAACCTCATTTTTTTTCGTAAATGCATTCTATTCTTGTAAAAACTTTTATGTGGTGAAGAATTGAATGCATATTGGCATTTCTTCATTGAGATGTTATGAAGGAAAGGGGATTTATTTTATTCAATGATGTGGGTTATGTAAGAACAGTCTATAAGAGTGGAAGCATTGTGCATGCATGGACTATTTCTCTTTTGCATAATTTACTTGAATGAAATCTATGGAAAACACGTAAATGGTGAGGAATCTTGCTGCATGATAGCAAGATGTGAATTTACTCTCAATTTTTGTGTCACTCAGCTGAACCCAGGTGGAGAGTGCTAGTGAGTTGTGGCTAGTCTAAAAGTTGCCCTTGGAGTGGAAAGTAGAAGTCTCTCTGTGTCAGTCTATGCTCCTTTTGTTCTCACTCTCTCAGTCCTTGTATAAAGAGTGAGACCACTTAAAATTTTGAAAGAAGGTATCCTTGGGTAATCAAAGAAGGTGATGCACGATTGCCCCAAGGAATCCTTTAGTCTGTTGGATCTTTAAAAGCCGTGACTTCCAAATATATCTCAAAATTGCAAGAGATGTTGGTGTGATGGGAAGCAGTTCTTTGGATGATTTAGTAGTTACTAAGCTCCTTGTGTCATTCCGTTTTGTTCTGAGAGCTAATTCACAATCCGGGCTTTAATTCTCTTTTTACATTTTACCTGCCCACTGAAAACTTCAGGATTCTTCCTGGTGACTGCTTTCCTGTGAATATTATTCCCTTTTCAGTATGAATTTGAAGAATGGATTCTATAAGTTTTGTTCTTTCATATCATGAATATTTCTTTCAGATACATGTTGGAATCAGCAAGTCTTGAGTTGTTTTTTAAGTACGTTGAATTACCCAATTTTGATATTGCTTCTGACGCGCTTGCAACATTTAAGGTCAGTTCTTCTAGTGATGTCTCTTCGCTACCCTTATGGTTTTTATCTTCTAAATGCAAATATTTTGTAGGATTTGCTTACCAAAAATCCAACTGAAGTTTCTCAGTTCTTGATAGTTCATTATGGCCAGGTAGTTCAATTTCTTCTTTAATTGCCAATGCACGATGTTATTTTTCTTAGAGTCTTTAAAATGCTGGTTTTTTTCGTTGTTGCTTACTTTTCTGTTCATCTAGAACTCGACTTTGCTGTTGCACGCATTTCTTCTAATTCAGTGGTGTTCTTCCAGTTCTTTGGTCTTTATGAAAAGTTATTGACATCTAAAAACTATGTCACACGGCGACAATCATTGAAGGTTTGTGCATAAATTTTAACCTTCTGTCGATTTAGTGATTATTTAAAGTCAGTTTATTGCGGTCTAACTTTAATTCTCATCTAGCTGCTTTTGGAATTCCTTTTGGAACCTCCGAATACTCAAGTAATGAAACGCTTCATCCTGGAAGCTGACTTTTTAAAAGTCATAATGGGATTGCTGAAGGTAGACAAATTTTCTGTTCCTCTGGCTATCTTTTTCCATTTGCATTCAAGTTCACTCATTTTGCACTATAAAGGTATTAATCACACGAAAGATTAAGGATGTGGGGTTTCTGTCTGTGAATATCATTTTGTTATTGTAATTTTCCAGCAAAAATATGTTGAATGATTTTCGCAATAGATTATGTGCCATCCTAAAAACAGGAAAAAGCTTAGATACACATTGGATTGGTGCTGATTCTGTGTGCTGGCATTATGGTGAAATGGAATTATATTTGTGGAAAATGGATGTTAACATGCTGATGACCGTCCCATGATATGGGAAGTTCTTGCCGGACCATATTGCTTACAATGAATAGGGGAGACCACGAGATACAGAGGAAGGAGAGAATAATGAAAGGTCTTCACCATCATCAAGAAGTGTTTTCATCAAAAGTCCTGTCTCGCTTATGGCCCTAGTACACTTTTGTAGAACAAGTGAGAGTCAAGACTACCAGAACCAGAAGCCTTTGAAGAAGCCAATTTCCAGTATCAAACTAGTACTTGGTGCTTTCGGATTTGGCAAGTTCTACTTTCGATATTTCCTTGGTTTCAGCCCTATTAGTAGCCCGAGTTAGGCAATTGTTAACGCAATCTAAATTATATGTCCTTTGATTTGAAACAGTGTGAGATCAAAAGGGTAATAATAGGGAAATCGCTGACCATGCTCATGCTGACCATGTGACATGAGACATTTGAATATTACAGTAAAAGCTACCCCCATGATGCAAGGTATTATTCTTGATCATTTCATTGCAAAGACATATTCCACCAGCCATATTCAACTAGCATTTTGTTTGTTTGCTGGTTTCATCGGCATGACCATCCTGCAAAGATGTGTCAAAGACATCAAGACAAGATTGCATTTTATCTTGTCGTTTCTTTAAGGCACGAAACTTTGTAATGTTGAGGTTGCTTCTTCAAAATTTAGCCCGCTGACATCTCATTAAAGAGGAATTGGTTGATGCATCCCTTCAATGATTATCTTGAAGACTTTGCTGAAGAAAGTCAACGTGGTCCAAAAGACCGTTAATCCTTTATATATGCTCCTTTAGATGTTAAATAAGTAAAACTTTTAAAACCAGAACACTTTCTGTTCCTTAATCTCCATGGGTTATTGTTTTCCTGCGCTTGAAAAAGTAGGAAAAAAAATTATATAGCGATAGCTTTATTCATGGGTTATTTTATTTATTTGAAATAAAATAAAAGGAGCAATCTGCTTAAACGTTGGGAATTGAAATTAGCTGCATCCGCCCCCCCTTAAAAGCCTATCTAAAGTTAGGAGGCTGGCATTTAGATGTTCTTTGGCCACAATGCACGATGCATGTTTCGACCTGATGCTCTGATTTAATCTTTTTTGCAGGACACGAGCAAAAACATCCAGATATCTGCTTTTCATATTTTTAAGGTGCATTTTTTTCGTCCGAGTTTTCTTTATTTGTGACTCAATTTCCAGTCAAGCGAATGATACTTGTTTTTGCGTTAATCTATGAATGAATATGGCCGCGAGGTAAAGCTAAATATTTTGCTTACGTCAGTTACTTATAGTTGATTGAAGTTAAGATATTTCCTGTGGCGCGTCCATTTCTGTGAATCAAATGGGCCTCCTTTACAGTTTTCCCATCCTTTTTCAGTGTCTCATCTTTCCTAGATGGCTAGTTAGCAGTATTCTTCAGATTTCTGTGCAGTATTTTCTGGTTATTTATAGTTACCTTATTTTCTGGTTATTTATTTTGTCCTTATTTTCTGATTCCAGCTTACATTCATCGCTGTTTTCATCATATAAATCAGGTATTCGTTGCCAATCCAAATAAACCATCAGAAATAATTGAAATTCTGGCAAAGAACCATGAGAAATTGCTGATGCTGTTGCATGGTCTTCCGGCCAATAAAGGTGAAAATTTATACTTATATAATTCCATAATTCCAAATAATTGCTGATACTGTTGCATGGTCTCCTGGCAAAGGTGAAAAATTTATACCTATATAATTCCATTAAATTTATGAATTTCCTACTTTAGGTTATGTTTTCAGAGCACCCATTTCTGAGAGAATCACTCAGTGGGACTCGTTCATTCTTGTTTTGTACTCCAAATGTCACTTCATGGGAAGTCATATGAGGTGACTCAATGCATCTTTCTTTTAACGGTTCTCCTTTGGGATTCAGTCTCTGTATGCTAAATAGATAACCTAATCTATTTAAAGCTGAAGCTACATTAACTCTTCTTTGTGATACTTAACCTCTCTCTTTTTCTCTCCTTTGTCTAGGTGGAGAGGATGAACAGTTTGAGGAGGAGAGAGATTTAGTCATCAAGGAAATTAAAGCACTGTCGCATACATCTCATGCTGCTGGTTAGCTCTTTCCTTGTTTACGTCATAACTTTGGAAAGTGCATGTCTTCTTTGGGACTCATGTACAGCATGAATGGAGCTGGTGTTTATTTCTAAAATTTCAATGTAGCTTTTGCAGAATTGTTATTTTTTATTTACAAAATATCAATGAACAAAGTTGAGCCTTGTATATGGTATAATTTATGAAAATATACTATTGATAGAACATTTTTCATGTGCTATCTTTTGTTTGAGTATCCTCTTGGAAGGTGTTCTCATACTAGAGAAAATTCAAGTTCTGAGAAACATGGTCTATTCTAATTGCTAAAATTGGATCTCTAGTGTAATTTTTATAACTTATAAAGTTACATTTTGTGAAGAAATTCATAAATACATGATTGACTATCAAAAAAGAAATCCTATCATATATCTATATATCTCTTATTGTATCAAAGATCCTGGTATGCTCTTAATGCTTTGTTTGATTCCTTGTTGAACCATTAGTTTACCAGTGTTGTGCTGCCAATGCATACTTCTCACACCAAAAATCTTATGGATTAGGGGGGGTATTTGATACATCTCAATATAGTGTAAAATGTTAAAATTATCATCAATTCATCGACACTGTTTATGTTCAGCTTGTTGAGACCACGATGAAGTTGGTCATCAAGTCACCTTTGCTTGCTATGCTAATAATCGCTTGTTTTCAAGAACAAATATGGGGAATATAAGTTTCCTTAGGTCTAACGTGATCCACCTCAATGTTCTCCATCCTATTATTGTGCTGACAAGCGATTCTAATCATATATGTGTCAATTGATAATCTGGTCCACTAACTTTCATCATGAAGTTGTCCAATCAAAATCAAAATGCCTTTCACTTAGATTTTAATACCATACACCTTTTCCCAATGCAGATTTTCTACACTTGAAATCTTTCCAGCTTTTACTCAAACCTTGATGAACTAATAAGCTGACTAATAAATTAGTCAAGGTATAAGGCATAGTTGCTCTCAAAGTACGTTTTCAACATCATCTAGGAGTTCAACCTTCTTCTACTTCATATCATTTTTGGCTTCAACAATGACATGTGGTGTGAGGTCTAAAACATAATAACTAACGGTTGTCTACCTTAGCCAGATTCCTATGTTACTAGTTGCCTGTTAATTACAATTTAATTGCATAGGCAAGTTCAACTCCAAGCCAATATTCTTAAATAAATTGAAAATATATTTGAATATTAGCAACCATGTGGACCATGGTCTTATATTCTACCTCCACATTTAGTTAGCTGAAATCATTTGCTTCTTACATTTCCAAGTAACATTATTTCCAAGTATAAATGAGTAGGGAAGAACTTCGTCCTGGAGATGGAGATGGAGGGGAAAGCAGAAAGTTTCTTGACGATTGTCCCTCTGTGGTTAAAGAGTTTCGTGCTAATTACAACTGGTCTAAAAACCCAACATAATGTTAACATATTACATAAGTAGCCACTCAAAACTCCTAATATCCCATATCTCTCACAACAAGCAGCAACTTGAAGTAGATCTCTTATTTGCATTCTAAATCCTTCTACTTAGCGATTGTTATATTGACATTAATAATCATTTTTCTAGAGAGGATTTAACGTATCTTAGTATTTTCTCTACATCTAATATATGAGGGGTTTTCGGTGCATGAATAAACTAACTTCACATATATCATATGCAATATCTAGTCTTGGAAGTAAGAGAGGAAAAACAAATCCAACTAATATTTAATACCTCCCAAAGGATTTAATGAACAGAAGATTACCCTCTACACTAGTAAGATCATAATTTGTATCAATGAGAGTATGTGTTGTGCCACATCCTAATTTTCATGAGTCCCCTGGCAGATCAGTGTTTCCTTTGCTAGAGCAATGCATCATGTTGACACTTGACACTAAAACACAAGCTAACCAAAATCTTTCATCTAAAACTCATGAATTAGGTTGTTCTTTAAAATATTAATCTTCCTAATATCACCCCTAATGACTATCATACCAATAACTTAAACTTGGGAAATCACTAATTGATTATTTTTATATTTTAAAAAATTATGTTATTTCATTTTCCTTTGGTATAAGCCAAGACTGATCATAGCGAGCCTAAGTGATATAACTTTGCCAGACATAAGCCCATTAAGTCTGCTTTTGAGGACATAACCTTTCCTCTATGATAAGACTTCGTTGAGGATGCACGTACAACTCTATTAAAAATCTATTAAGAAAGCATCCATTGATACCAAGCTTACGCAAAGTCCACCAAAATTGGTTTACAATAAAAAAAATTATCTAATAAACTCTCTAGAATCAAGGCTTGCTTGATATTGTTCCATAGAAAATAAATATTATACTTGATATTATGTGTTCACTTACATACTGCCAACTTTTCTTTAGAAAGGATAGTTATCTTTGAACCTATTTTGGAAAGCATCATCTCTACCACCCTGTGTGGATCCTTTGTGGCCTTGTTACATGAAATACTTTCTAAATTGATCAATAGACACTAATGAGCAAGTAAGAATTATGAATAACAAACAAGGATGGCAATAGAATGCTTATGCGAACAAATAACTTAGTGGAAAATAATGAGAAGGGTGAAGATTATGGGATTTCCTTAAGAGTTGGTAAGGGTGTCCTATCTTGACTCGAGGATTCAACATTTTGTTGGGTTTGAAAATAAATGGAGAACTCTATTGTCACTTTTCTTCTTTTGAAAATATGTGATTGTTTTTCAATATTCTGCTCACTTGTGTGACAGTCACAATCTTGAGGTCCTCTTGGTGATACATCTCCAATGCCCTTCATTCTCACTCTCACGGTAGATAGAACAAGTCTGAAAGGAGGAATTAGTTGAAATAAATGTGATGAGAAAAAGGGATGATTGAAGGATTTCATAGAATCTCCCTCAATAAGATTGGTGATGGAATTAAGACAAATTCAAAGAAGTTGATATCCTTCTTCTAGGAATTAGATTTAAAAACGATTCTTAAATTAAAAGTAGCAATGTGGCTACCCATTTCTTCCTGAAAAACTTGAATTATCTTCATCAGGTGAAATCTCTCTTATATCATATCATCATTACTTTTAAGGGGTGGAGGCAATTAAACCTTTGAGTTTAACAAAATTATAAATTGGAGTAAACTTTTTTTTTAAAAAGTAATCTACTCCTTACGTTTAGATCATCAAATATTAGACTATTGAATCATTTTCTCTAAATCTTACAATATTTATTGGTGGTCTAAATCTTGGATATTTAATTTTGAGGTATTAAGTTTTCCATTAATAGGAAAAAGAGAATAAAAGATAGGGTGCTAATAAATTAGTTATGGCTTTCTTTCCTACTATGTATACTATTTTGGCAATGTACTTTACTATTATTGACTTGTGCTAAAAGTAAATCATTCAATACATGAAACCCATCAAAGATTGTTTCTATTAATATCTATTTGGCTAATTGCTACATTTCAATGCTAAGTAATAAGTAAATGGTGTAAATTCCTCTTGAATAAAGTAGTGATTCTATGTTTATAAAGTTTTAACCACAATATAAAATTCTAAATCATATCAGTCCTATGTTTTATATTTTCAATAAGCTTTTCATTATAGAAAGTTATATATCAACTCTTTGATGCAACACAACATATACTTTGACAATTGATATGTCACATTCTTCTTCAAATAATTTCTCACAATTTAATAGTGGTAATATTGAAGCATTACACATTATTTTATTCCCTCCAATTAAAAGCTTCTTTTTCATACATTCTCTACTAAATCATATAGTATAATTATTTTTTATATGAATCCATGATAAAAAGATGTAGATCTATGAAAACTATATATCTCAATGAAGTTCTTTGGTGTATGCTATTCTGTGATAACACAACCTTCACTTGACTGACCTTCATCTTGTTCAGTGACAATAAATCCTTACAAAATAAAGTTTTTTATCATGAAGATATACTTTTTAAATTTTATTTATGACTTATCCTACTAGAAAGTATATATACATCTTTAATACTGCTATTAATCAATGCTATGGAGATAAACAATGACAAACCTCCTAAGTCAATGTGTGAGTAAATGATTCATCAATATCATGAATGTGCAAGGAGTATTAGAAAACACTAACAACATCATCAATCATTTACATTTTTTTATTTTAAAAATAATTTCCCATTCACCATTTTTGCATATTCTGAATTTATGATAACCCTTTTAAATAAACTTTGTAAAAGCTTATTGAACTAGAGATTATATCATCAAGCAATGAAACAAGAATTTATATTGTGCAATAATCTTATTGACAGTGTGACTATCCGTACATGTTCATTTGCTTGGAACTAAATATCTAGGAATTGCACATGGACTCATATTGTCTCTTTCAAAAAAATTTTGCTAACAGCACTATGAAATTTATTCTCTTGAAAACTCATGATATCATGTGGTAAATAAAGTTTGCTCCATGAATCAGGTCAATATCACGCTTAATATCTCTCAAAGGCGTAAGGTGACTTGGCAAGTCTCCTATGATACTAAACTCAAATAAAATATTATAAACAAGTACTATATCAGAAGATATAATTGCAATATCCACTTCTCTCACTCTACTAAACATTTAATATTCTACTATTAAAATAAGGAAACTTTTCTTTTTTTATCGACTACCATCACTGTATTGTTTTGTCTATGACAATGATAAGCTCATTGTCCTTCATTGGGCACAAAACAATGTCTTAGACATTTCTATAAAGTACATAGGTCTCATCTCTACTTCAATGATATTTGACAAGACCATCATAGCCTTCTAGAAGAATGTGACATGAATTCCATATTAACTACACCACATTGAACTTATTGAAAATATATGCTTTCCCAACCAAAAGTTTTAAAAGTTTGGCTTGATTATGTGACCAGTGATCAGAGACAAAATGACAGGCCTCTACCTAACAGATGGCCACGAAACCAGAGGAAGACCCCCCCCCCCTCTCCCCTCCGCCTTATTATGCAAAGATAACAAGCCATAGTTCTTCAAAAAAAACCCAGGAAAGAAACAGTGCAGCCTTCGTCTCCCTCCCTCCTCTTCTTCTTCTCTCTCTCTCTCTCTCTCTCTCGCTACTACTCTATCTCTCTCATCTCATAATAAGTTAAAACGGGTGGCGGATTTGGTTGAGTGGGAGAGGGAAAGAGCCCGGGATAGAGATCAGTACTTGTAGTCCTTGACGTGGAGGCTCTCGGAGACGCCCTCGCCCCCAGCAGCATCTCCCTTGTAGGTTCCGAGAGTGGCCTCAGAGTTGGCCTTGCACCTGGCCAGGAAGGCAGCCTGCGCCTTCTGGATGTTCTCCACCTTCCCACCCCACGTCTTCAGGGTGCTCTGCTGCAGGGCCCTGCCGAAGGAGAACGAGAGGCTCCATGGCTTCTTACCCTTGAGCTGGTTCATGGCGTTGAGATTCAGAGTGGCCTCCTCTTCGCTCTGCCCGCCAGAGAGGAAGACAACAGCAGGGACAGCAGCAGGGACAGTCCTCTGCAGGGCCCTGACAGTGTACTCGGCCACGACCTCTGGAGTCACCTTCTTTGAGTCTGAACCGGGAGTCACCATGTTGGGCTTCAGGAGGGTCCCTTCCAAGAGGACGTGATGGTCGTTGAGGGCCTTGTAGCAGGCAGCAAGGACCCGCTCGGTCACGTCGGCACAACGGGCAATGTCATGGGTGCCATCTACAAGGATCTCGGGCTCAACAATGGGCACGAGGCCGTTCTCCTGGCAGATGATGGCGTACCGGGCCAGTCCATTGGCATTCTCCTGGATAGATAGCTGGGATGGCTCGGTGGGGCCGATCTTGAGTACCGCCCGCCATTTGGCAAAGCGGGCGCCGGCCTCATAGTACTTGGCACAGCGCTTGCCAAGGTCGTCGAGGCCCTGGGTGGTGGTCTCCCCATTGGTGCCGGCCAGCTCAACAGTGCCCTTGTCAACCTTGATGCCAGGGAGGACATTGGCTTCGGTCAGAACATCCACGAATGGCTTCCCTGCTGCGGTCTTCTGGTAGAGGGTTTCCTCAAAGAGGATGACACCACTGAGGTATTGGAGGGCCCCCGGGGTGGTGAAGAGGAGCTCACGGAGAGCACGGCGGTTGGACTCCACATTCTCGACATTTATGCTGGACAGGCGCTTACCAATTGTGCCGGTAGATTCATCGGCAGCAAGGATACCCTTCCCCGGGGTTCCGATGTGGGCAGCATTCTTGGCGAGCTCCTCTGCAGAGATGAAATTAAAAATTGTAAGGCAGAAAATAGAACAAGATAAATAAAAGACCCTGGTTTCTTCACATGAGAAGAAGAAAGATGGATTAAAACTGATGAATAACTGGAAATTGAATGAAGCTCAGATGTTCCAAATGAGGAAACTTCACATGTACAGATCAAACCGGCAACATCAAGGGGGCATAAACCAGACAAAGAAGGGCAAAAGACAGCAAATGGCAGCATAGAAGATCACATAAGACCACTTCTTATAAACGGAATAGGCCTGCCAGAGGCTTGGAGGATTCTTGTTTCTTAAACTTCCATGCAACATAACAGGAAACTAGATATTACTTTCTTCCAATTAAGGAAAAGCAGATAAAAATTCAAACGTAATTTGCTGGTTTGCGTCGTGTATTCTAGACACCATCTGAGATCACTAATATATTTCAGAGATAGATCACCTCCGGGAGCAATCCTTAATAAAGTGTAGAAACCAAAAAACACAAGGTGACCTAATTATCCACAAAAGGTGCCACAAAAAAAAAGAAAGCAAAGTGTTAAAGCCATATTCTGATAAACATCACAGCGCCAAATGGCAACAGAAAAAGGGAAGAGAACATCGTCAAGTTAAGAAAGATTAAACCAGATGGAAATCACAAACAGGTACAACCAAGATAATAATCCACATTTCCGAAGCTCTCAAAGATTCCACCTTGAACGACATATAGGAAACAATAAATCTCAACCACATAAAATTGAGGAATAGACACCCGAAAAGGCAAATCATTTCCTCAATGTAGAAAGCGAGCAGACAACATGGGCTAGTGAACGAGCAAATACAAAATGGACAAGAATCAGGGCTAAAAACATTGGTATCCATTTACATAGAGAACAGGCATAAGAAATCAATTCACCAAGGAAAGCAAAATGGATCACTATGTTAGACAAAAACAAAAAAGACAAGAAAGCAATCACCAATGAAAATACAAGGTTCCCCATCATGCTAGGGATCGTTGCCCTACATTCTCCAGAAAAACAAGGTTCCCCATTATGAAGGAAAATACTTCATGCGAAAAAAATTTAAGAGAACAATCAGCCTATTTGAAAAAATGGAAATTCAATATTACAGTCTAGGAAATAATAACCATAGCAAAAATATTCAGCACGAAGAGAATTACTTGAAAAAAAGCGTCACGAACAGGAAGCAGGTTAAAAGGAAGCACAGGTAGACCGACCGGTCAAACGAGTAGAGACAATGGGGAAGAAAACAACCACAGAGTCGAACAGAAAAATTATATAATGATGAAAGCACCTGAGAAAGTAAAGGTTTCAAAAGGTAAAGAAGAACCAGAAGAAAAGTCTTGAAAACAAGAAAAAAAAGACAAAGGAGTCGCCTTTAAAAGCAAAGGAAAACGACAGCGCAGAAAAAACAGAGAAAAATAAGTTAAGAGACATAAAAATACAAAAAAAACAGATGAAAGAAAGGAAAGCGCTTGCTATCAGATTGCAAGATCGATGCACCTGTAAATCCCTAAAAAAGTTCCCAAGAAATGAAAGGCAGCAAAATCGAAGCGAGGTTTCATGATATGCACATTTGACGTTAGGGAATCGGTAGAAAATGACAACAATCACCAATGGCTTCAGAAGTACGAGAGAACCACGAAACAAGTGCCTGAAATACGAACACAAGTGGAAGATAGCCAGATCCGGCCTACATGAAGAAGAAGAAATCTACGATGGAGAAGAAAAGTCACCAACAAGGAGCCATCGAGTTGATCCGCACACCAGACCGGGGGAAGAGAAGGAAAATGGTTAGGATCGAGGCGAAGCATCATACCAGCATACTTGCCACAGTAAGCAGACATCTTCGCTTGGTTTCTCGAACTGATCGACGGGGCCAAAGAGACGAAAGCGGCGAGCGACTGCGGAGACCGGTAGTTGCAGATTTCCGTAGGGCGCCCGTGGATCTGGCCCCGTTTATATAGCGATCTAACAGACCGCATTATATGCGGCAGGGTGGAGATAGATGGGCGCCACTTGGCCGGCACTCAGTGGGCTACGAGTAATCAATGGGCGCTGAAAACGGGCTTCGGGCTAGGCCCAGGGACTCAAAAATCGGCCCGGCCCGGCCCACCTCAATGAATAATGGTCCAATCAGCACAGATTTTCCGCTCTATTTTTTATATTATTATAAATACAATTTTTAAAAATAATTAATATTAAAATTAAAATATGTCGGATAAGAACGTTAACAAAAAGCCAACGGTTCTATTTATTTGGTCCCATCAGGACAGCAACTATACATTGATCGTGAAATACGTCACAAAAGCCAGCATGTCATTTTTTCTGGGCTCAATACCAATTTCTGAATTCTTGGGTATAATTGTACTTTTTTGGAGGAATATTCTATACACGCCAATAGCTGCCGGGCGAATATGCCTATGCACCGTAGCACTAGGTGGGCCCCAAATGCTTCGCGATATAATAATATTAATCATTATAATATCGTGTACAGAAAACTCATTAAAAAAATAAGTTAATGAGTGGATGCCTGCGCCGCAGCAGGAACCCGCAATAAATGAAATATTGTCTCATCCCCCTCTGGACAGCATAGAAAATTGGCGCCAGCAAATATGGTGGGCTACTTCCTCAATGAGCTCATATGATCCAAGAATTCAGAAATAATTGTACTATAATTGGGGAAACTCATACGTTAATACTGATGTAAGTAGTATGCATTCACTGTATTTATTGGTCATGAAGTATGTGGCTTTAGCTTTTGGTATCTTAAAATAACATATTAATTTTTTTTTGACATTATTAATTTTTTACTCTAATTTTATTTTTTTAAAATGGCAAATAGCAACATACCCCCATTAAATTTTGCCATTTTGTAACATTTTTGCGAAATATCCCGCAAATAGAATTTGTTTTCCCAGTTTTGCCAATATTAATTTACTCTATTTTATTTTAAAACATGACAAATAGCAGCATATCCCCATTAATTTTGTTTCCATTTTTGCAACATATCCCACAAATAGCAAATAACAACATTTTTGTTGCCATTATTATTTTTTCCCTATTTTACTTTAAAAATGGCAAATAGCAACAAATCCGACTTATTAATGTCTGCCATTTTGTTAGATTTTTGCAACATATCCCACAAATAGAAAATACCAACATTTTTACCATTTTTGCTATTATTAGTTTTAGTCTATATTATTTTTGAAATGGTAAATAGCAACATATTCCACTTATTTCCAACTAGTTGCCCATAGACTTGCATTATTCTCCCCCACGCTCATTTTTCTCCACAAGCTTACCTCTAGAGCTTAAATTGCTACACCTAGAACTTGCAACCTCAAACTGCTTGATTTATAAGCTCATACTACTATCCGATGAGATTGCTTTTGAAAGCATATATTGTCCAAGCACGTAGCTAATCTGCCCAACCTTAGAGCATTTGCCTTTGCTTATTAACCTCATTTTCATAAGCTCCATGAGCCCAAATTATTTGTTCCATAAGCTTAAGAAACCCGGCATTATTTTTCCCATAAGCTTATCTTATTTTCCATATAATCTTCAGTTATTCCCCATGAACTTACACTAGTGACAAGGTTTATCACAGAAACAGAGAAACAGATATCAATTTATGTTTTTCTTTAAACTCTGGTTAAGTAAGTTGGGCTAAACTCAGGAATAGTTGATGAATGAAAAAAAATACATCGTTTTTTCAGGTCGTATAGGTTTTTGAGGAAATATTTAAAGGAAAAAATAAAAAACCCACAATATTTTACTAACTCATCTACTTTAGGAAGCATAAATTCATGTAATAAAGTTCATCTTATTGTGGAGCAGAACCAGAAGCGTATTTCCTAATGAGGGAAAGGAGCATAAAAAACGTATTCTTTTAAAGATGAGCATGAGGTTTGCCACCTTTAGAAAGATTTAATGAGGCTCACTAGAAGGGTAGCCCCAGCCAGGCACATGACAGAATTTGGAGCCTATTTTCCTCAGTGGTGCTTTTTTTTTTGGCAAAATATTGTGAGGATAATACTCTGATTCTGCCTGCCAGCATGTGTATGATTGTCTCCTACCATCTTCTCACTCAGTCATCCCCTCCCATGGGTGGTCTTAGTAATACTGATGAACTGTGAAGAGACAGCACCATTCTTGCATGTTGTTGGATTGATTGATTGATTGATTCATTCATTCATTCATTCATTCATTCATTCCACCGAACAACAGTGCTTCAGCAGAGGATCATCTATAAGGTCCATAGCCATTTTTCCGAGCATATCTCCAGATCTTGTTCGATACAGAGAAAACATTCAGATTGAGCAGATTAACCCTGAGATCGCTTCAGAAAAGAGATTTGAGGGCTTTGGCGTGGTGGCAGATGTGGTCGTCGATGAACGTTTGAACGAAGAAGTAGGAGTGGTCATAGCCAGGCTGGAGCCTCATGAGCAGCGGCACATTGGCTCTCTTGCATGCAGCCTCAAAGCTGTGGGGCAGTAGCTGATTACTCAGGAAATTATCATCCCCTCCCTGTACAAGGCCATCATCTTCAGGGTCACTCGCTAAAACAAAATAATTCATTAAATGGCTAGCCTGTTGTAAGAAAAGAGAAGAGAGGAGCTTCAGCTTTCATTGCTCTCTACAACACAATTGGGTGCATGATAGTTTCCTTACTTTAATTAGAAAAAAATAATAACAAGGAATTTCCCCATTGAATCTGCATGAAAAACACAACCAAAGAAAAGGGTTCGAGACTGATATCCTAGATAAGTGTTGTGAGATCATCACGATGAGAGAGGCAGATGTTCTGCCTTCTGGCAATGCTAGCGTACTAAAAATAGACAAAATCAGCAGCAAAGTTCTTCTGTAGAATGTCGTCTTTCCTTTTTAAGCAATGTAAATGTGCACTAAGTTTGAGCCTTCATAAAAATTTTCAAGAGCCAATGCACACTTTAGAAGGTCACATAAAAATAATCTTCAAGATTTTGATGAACCACTGGAATAAAGACGACAAAGAAGAAGATCATACAGAAGGAAAAGCACAGCAAAATGAATACAGGGCTCAGTGAATCTGAAACACTCTCTGAGGACCAGGAGGCTCCACAAAATTTAGATATATTCCAGCTATAACAAGCAATCTAAGGACAAAAAAACATTTGTCATCACAGACACATCTTACTACAATTGTCATCACAGAAGCACGAGCAAGCTGATGAATTGCCAATTGAACTATTGGGTCCCACAATGTGACATTCATTCTGAAGGTATATATTTTTTCGTGTTGTGTAACAATGTTAATGCCTCAAAAAATAGGTGATATAAAATGGTAAAATATATCTCACGCTGAAACAGAAAATATTCGTACATCTTTTGTCCATCACACAGGAATGTGCCACATGGTTCTGCTGACAAGAGATATTGAGCAATCTCGCACAATAAAGATCATCTTATGACATCACATATTGGAGTTCCCTTGTCGGCAATAAGTTTTTGACAAATCCTTCATATATCCAAGTTGGGTATTATTTCAGCATAGATACATATGCCACCATCTTTTCACGAGAGACAAATTCCAAAAATTTAGGAAAATCGAGCCCTAAAAAATTTTAAAGTCTGGACCTAGAGAACTCGTAGGAGCAAAAAACTAGCTTCTTTTAGTTTTTCCAGCTATTTGAGCGTTCCATCTTCCACAATAACATCCCACTGTCAGCCCCCAGGCATGTACCCTTCAAGACATTGATTACTCGCAATATTGATTCAAAATATAAGCTTTTTATCATAACCTAATGAAATTATCTACACTATTACCACTCTCTTGATTTATTTCATTCACAGAAGACAAAAAGGTATTCTCCGAATCAAAATTACTAGACACAAGTACGAACGAAATAACATTGTGAACTCATCGTCATCTCTGACAACCGCACGGTTCCTGCCAATCCGATAGAACATGTGAAAGTGCATATTTGTTCACAACTGACAGTTTATTTTTTCAGAACTCAGACCAATTGCAAGCAAAAGGTGCAAAATGATCCATCCTAAGGGCATGAAAATTTCGAAGCAAATGATTAGTAGGACAAGAACCAAGCGGACCAGTTTATTGAGTGAAGAGATCATCTGATTATCGCCAGAAAAATACCAGGGCAACAAATGGTTGCCCACACACGTCACTCCAGCGTTTTAAGTTAATCATTAATGTTGAAGTAAAAACAACCTAGAAAGGTAGTTCACTGGGCCAAACCACCTGTCTAGGACAGGTTAGCACTTAAGAGAACCTGTGAACAACATTTTAAATGATGTCAAGCCAAAACCTACCATGATTCAATTGGGGAATTCCATTCTGATCTATTTTTCTTGCGTATTTAAGAACTTGTCTTTGGATTAAACCAAACAGATCATAACGATAGCAGACCTTTTGAGATCTTAATCAAGCATAATTAACAATAACATTCTCGACATAAAATTTCAATCTAACCCATTGTACGTGAAGAATATCATTACTTTCTTGATATCGAGAAATAATTTACCTGATCAATTAGGATAGTTGTTGAAAGTTCATTGATTTTTTCAACCAGAACTGTCGCATCATATTCCTGCATAAATAATAAGCATTAACAGTCGATTCAAGATGTCTAAGATGTGAAAAACGAATCATTTATGAGTGGTACAAGGACCCAGATCATCACAACACGTCAGAACAGTCTGTTGACGGGATTATCTCAACTTTTGGTTCCAACTTAGAACACTGCATAAGTTTATATTAGGAGGTTATCTTACCTCCCAATCAGACTTGTCAGTACCAAGATAGTTTGAGAAAGCCTTCTGTCCCCATGGACAATTCGCAGGATTACAGATTGGAGCAAAGGCAGAAACAGACTACAACCAAAGACAATGAACAACAAGGAAGGTGAAGAAACTATTGAGGTACGCAGCCTTATGTTTTTGACAACCAAGCCAAAAAAAGACCTTGTATGCTCCTGGATTCTTTAGGTAAATTATCAAAGCACCATGGCCACCCATCGAGTGACCAGAAATAGATGCCCGTGAAATGTCAAGGTTGGGAAAGTTTACGCTGAGAAGCTTTGGCAGTTCTTTAACAACATAGTCATACATACGCCAGTTTTTCCACTTATCTTGTGTTGCATTTAAGTAAAAGCCAGCACCTGCCGAAATGAATCATGAGCAAAGAATAGACATGTCAAACACTTTGCATGGGGAACCATTTTGTCCCACAAAAGAATAAGGTTACCAAAATATTCTCACCAAGAAAAATCAAAACTTAGAGAATAATAATCATTACTATATACACCTCTATCACCCTATTCAGAAAATAACTCGTGAAATACAGCGAGGACACTGAAAGCATTAGAAGTCTACACATACAGTAAGCATCTACGGATTATACACGTGGTCAAGACAAAGTATCATTATAACTTAATACATTGGCTTTTGCACTTGTTTGCCAAATATTATGGAACACTCAAATAAATATCTTTGATTTTAACACTTATTTCGTCCACTACGAGTCAAGCTCAGGGCATGGCACTGATAAGCTGAATTTACTGAAAAAGGTACTAAAGCGAAAGGTAAATCTTTGCTGAAGTCTATATGTTAGTTAAGGAATGAGGAGGAGGTTACAGAGGAGGCCGTATCTCCTTTCAAAGGGTTTCGAGGACAGAAGACATTTTAAGATGGACAGCCTAGATACTCAGGATGCTAATGTTCTCTGAAGCAATAAATTGAATGCGACTTAAAGAAAAAAAATATCAAAAGGAAATGTGGAACCAAACAAAGCACACAATCAATGATCAGGAAAGGAAACCTATCAAGTTCCATCTGGTCCACTAATTCCCACTCTTCAGTAAAAAAATTTAAAACATCTTGCCTCTGGTAATAACCACCTTGAAATTGTACGAATGAGAAATGACCAGCAGAAGCCCATTTGCCACCATTGTTCAAAAAAAAGTGATGAAGTATGTCATCCTCAACAGAAGAAAAACAAGGGTAGACATCCAAAGGGTAAGCATCCGATCACACATTAGCCACTGAAAGGTAATTGACAGATGTTTCCCTTCCTCAAAGTTCAATACAAATGGGCCTTCATTACCCAACAAGAAACTTGTGTCAATGGTTAAGCACAATGCGAGTGGGTTTAAGGACCTAAGTTGAACACTGCAGAGACTCCACAGCATAGGGTGCACTTTCAGTCAAATGGTGAAACTTATCAATGATGGACCTCAAAACTTAATTTAAACTTTATGTTCAGTGGTCAAACTCCATGTTAATTGATCTAACGATTAGATGTGCATGTTGCATAAACTTACTGCAAGGTCAAATGTGAATAAACATCCATGATCTAATATGGACTTTACGTCCAGAAATCAGGCCCAATAATGTGACGCCCCATGAAAGAGATAAACTGCATTATCCAAAATTTCCATTTACAGCCTGGCAGTTTAACAATCATTCTCAAATCACTGCGTAAATTTCTCCAATCATACATTTTTGTTATGCTCTGCGTTAAATCACGAGTCAAAATCTTGACAATCTACCTGGTTTGTGGTTCAAGGCAAAGCAAATATCTGCATATTCAATACCAATATTTCTATCAACTCCTCTTTAAGGTTAACGATAGAGGCATAAAATACAAATAGAGCAATTGTTTAACCTAAATGCACAGGCCTGTACAAGCTTCTTGGAATGCCAGCAAGCCAGTTGCATCAGCCATTTGCAGCCAAGTGAAAAAAAAGCTCGCTTTGGAGGTTCACACTAATTTTTAAAGAAGTTACTTCCAATGCTTACTCACAAGATCACAAGAGTATTTGTCTGGATTACTAAATATTAAGCGGTTATATTCTGCATCCATACCTACGCCAAAATCCCAGCTATCTGCCTCTCCTTCAACATTGAGGCCTCCTGAATAAATATGCAAAATCAAGTTACTTCAATTCAAATGCAAGCATGGATGTACAAAGGAAAACATAATGGAAATTGTCTTCCAACTCCATTACAAAAAGTTCAAAATATTGTATCATTGAAGAAAAATAAAACGAACATTCCTCGGATTCCGTCCCAAAAGCTGATTTCCAGGATTATAAAATGTACTGAAGAGTACAACTATAATACCTTGGGGAAAATTCTTCCCTAAAAATCATAAAGAGTTGCGTCATCATAAAAAAATAGCAGAATAATCTATGACTGATTTATTTCATTTTTTTGATTGACCACCTCCCTGGTTAGCCCTCAAAAAGAAACTGAAAATTACCTGGTCATACCGTATAAAGAAAGATAAACTATGAATAACCCAACTAACAAGGTTTAAGCTGGTCACAGTTGAAGGCATTGAATAGACTCTCCTGATGGCATGGCAACATACAATCAAAGTAGCAACATAGGCATTTGCAAAGGGCGTGAAGATCATTGTTTTGAGTAGAAAGAGATATACTTGGTGAAGTATCAGGGGCAACCAGGGCAATGCCCTCACGAGATGCTGAACGTTGTGCACCAGACTTGATAATAAAATTTTCATCTGTGCATGTGAGGCCAGAAAGCCAATAGAGAACCTATCAATCAGAGAGTAAAACAAAAAATTCAGATAACTTGCATCCCAGCTTCAGTTAAAGTTTTTCTCAAGTTTTTCTATAAACCCAAAGAGAAAACTTTCAAAATTTCAATTCAATCGTCACTTTTTTCCCGAAAAACGTTTCTTGATAATCAAGATTATGAAGCCAGCAATTTAACGTTGAAATACCACCACAAAAAGAAAAGCACCTTCAACCTAAAAATGATACTGTGGCATTTTTATATAAATCAAAGTTCAAGCAATTGACATGACACAAGAGATATGAAGAGCTTATTGCAAGGATATGAAAACCTTACATTACATCTTTAAAAATTCAAAACCTCAATAAAGGGGATAAATAAAATTTATCCATCTTATTACAATTTTTTTCAAACTTTCAATAACAAACGTCACTCACCAATGATGTGACATTTGACAGAGAACCTTGCATATATTGACGACACTGCTTTACAATAATGATTAAATAATTATGTGGCTAGATAGTGATATCAGTTATGCATCTTGTTTGCGATTGACTACTCTCCTGGACAAGTTCTGGTATCTGGTGAATTATTGAATAGAGCCTGATGATCCTTTCAACATTATCATGTGATATACTCCTTTGATACCTAATCAGATTCTTTTTGTCACTTGTTTTGCCATGACTTGCTGCTCTAGCATTTTCATGAGTGCTTTGCTGCAGTGTGATAGATACAGTACATTTCTAAAGCACATCAATGCTTTCATAAGAAATAGTTTGAGATAACTTCTGTAGAATCCTTTGGTTGGATAGAGTACTTTATTCACCTCTCATTTTCAGAATTTCTTACTTGTTGGGTTCATTATGTCATCTCATCCATGTGGCACGGGATTAAGACCCACAAATAGAACATAGCAGCTGCCTTGGATCCTGCAGGATTCGCTGCTGCAGTGGTCCAGATTTATGTTGATAATGCTGGTGGTCTGGTACCTGTTCTTATTTATCTTTTTATTTCTTTTCATATAATGACACGATACTTAAGAAAGTAACGACGAATTTATTCATACTTTAGAAAGTAATGACTTCTGTTTATACTTTTGACTAAGGACTCGTTGTTGTGTACCTGACATTCTATTGGAAAATAATAGAAGTCGATGGTCTTAAATCACACTAAGTAGAGGCAAGGAAAAAAAGTTTCATGTAATTGATAATGTTTCTATGGAAAAAGGCATTTAGCAAATGTGAAAATCCTATTCATGAAGCACGTAAATGGACTAAAGTTACTAGGTATTATAGTATATTGCACTCAGAAAAAAAACTCTTTGTACGCTATCCTGATAACCCCTTACACATCACACGTGCACATGTTTAGCATGGACGTAGAGAGCATGGTTTGGGGGACTTACCGTTGGATGGTAAAAATATAAAAAGAGATAAAAAAATAAATTATAATGGGCAAGATGCATTTATGAAGCAGAAAAAAAGGCTTTAGAGTAAAATTTTCTCATCTAAAGTGATGATTTCGTGGTATTCCCTGCGTACCTCTACTCTGCAGCATTAAGAAGATCCTTTCTTGTCCAGAATGCTATTTTACACCAGTGTCGAGAATAGTAAGCTCAACATACAACTAGATCATGGTTAAGATCAATCTAATATGAGGGACTTCGAAAAATATAGCTTGGGCTCGAAAAATAGACATTCATAAATCTGGACGATATTCAACTCATTTTCTGCAAAGATGAAGCGTGCAAACTCTTTAACAGCAGGGATCTATTCTCAATGAAAGATCTGATACGACCCCACTACTAACCTACAAAAGGCGTAAGAGAAGAGTCACGTGCTCGTCACGTGAGAGGGGGTATAAATACAGCACAAGAGAGGGGGGGGGGGGGTTCTAGAGGAACATCGTATTCTGGAGAGGCGGGGAAACCTCTCAAACATTTTCCCCATCCCTTTACTCTTCTTCCCTCTTCTTTCCTGTTATCTGAATAGACTGTCATCCCAACACTTGTTCCTCGTCACCGACAAGAGTCTGTGAGTTCAATATAAGTACTTTGCCTCTTCTATTTCGCCCAGATTCGAGCCTCCCTTAGAGGATCGTATCATTAGTATCAGAGCCACAATCTTGCGATGATAGGTGCCATGGCGCCGAAGATATCGGATGTCTGTTTTGAAGCCCTAAAAACAGACAATGAGAACCTACGGGCAGACCAACGAAAGATGGTCGAAGACATGGAGAAATCAAAGGAAGAATCCATGGATCTAATGCGACAACTCCTACAAAATATGCAGCAGTTCCAACTGACGGTGTATGTAAGATTGGATGCCTTAGAGAAGAAGGAACACTCTACTCTACAGCCGACATCATCACTCCGCCCAGAGCAGTTAGAATCATAACCTGAGGTACAACCTCCCTTCCTTCCCCAAGAATATATTCTAAGTGAAACTACAGCTGGTCACACGGTCATCCAATTCACCAAAAACCGGGAAATACCAGTATTCCGGTGGGGGAAATCCTGAGGGTTGGTTAAGATGTATTGAGAGATTTTTCAGACTAAACAAAGTTCAGGAACAAGAACAACCTAGAGCTGGCAATGATGAAGCTCGAAGGCCTGGCGTTAGAATGGTACCTATGGAGGGATGATAGATATTCTTTCCGCAATTGTCAGAACTTTAGAATTCAATTGGGGAAACGCTTTGGCAATACTACAGCAGTGAACACATTCCATAAATTCTTAAATCTTCAACAAGACCAATCAGTTCAAGAATGTCCGACTGAATACAAGCATTTATCTACTTATCTGCCAAAAACTCCAAGATGTAGACATGGAGAATACTTATATGAAAGGCTTAAAATCGGAGATTTAAGCAAAGCTGGCCGGCATCGGTCCAGTGGGATTGATGGAGATGATGGATGCATCAATAGAGGCAAAGCAACGTATCCGCACTCTATGAGAAGCCTGGGACAACCATCTGCCCAAATCTTCTTGACAAGGTAATTTTACTTCCATTAAGACTGCTAACAATCATTTACATGTACTATATAGTGAATAGGAAAAGAATAGGCACTACCTCCCTACTAGAATGGAACTCTAAAAGTAATACTCCACCTCAGGTGGCAGGAAAAGACAATAGGTACCGAAAATAGATCACATTGACTAATGTGGAGTACCAGAACTGTCGTGAAAAAAGACTTTGTTATCATTGTGAAGAAAAATTTGGCTCGGGACATTGCTGCAAAAAACAGCTACAAATTCTGATCGTTCATAAAGACGACCAAGGAACTAGTGACGACATTTTATATGATTCCAAAGAGGAGAAGACTCAACCAGCAGAAAGAATAACGTTATTCACAGTACAAGTTTTATTGAACTCAGTGGTAGGACTCATGCAAACAAGAACCATGAAGATGGAAGGAACATTACAAGGGCAGGTGATTACCATCTGAATTGATTCAGGTGCGATGTATAATTTCATATGCTCGGAATTATGTGCATGCGTCAATTTACCTCACACAGAAGCTATGAATTATGAAATTCTCATAGGGAATGGTGAGGCCCTACAAGGTAACAGAATTTGCAGGAGTATCTTTTTACAAGTCCAAGGTTTAGACATCACCGAAGACTTTCTACCACTCACATTGGGGAGTACTGATGTGATAGTCGGAATGCAGTGGCTAAGTTCTACATGATTATTGCAGCCATTGCCCATTCCACATCAAGTATAAGAAGACCTTTCGATGGACTTTATAGGTCTACCTAGATCCAATCACTTTGACATTATATTGGTCGTGGTGGATTGCCTTAACAAGTACAGCCACTTTATTTTCTTAAAACACCCATTTTCTACACCATAGGTGCCACCTTTGCAAAAAAAGTGGTCCATCTACATGGTTTACCTAAATCGCTTGTTTCAGATTGTCACAAAGTATTCGTTAGTAAATTTTGATGTGAACTATACAAGTTATAAGGAACTCAACTCCAAATGTCATCCTCCTATCATCCTCAGACTAATGGACAAACCGAAGTGGTGAACCGATCCTCAGAATCTTATCTAAGGCGTTTTGTGTTAAATCAACCAAAGACTAGCAGTCCTGGCTACATTGGGCAGAATTATCTTATAATACTGCCTACCATTCCTCTATCAAAATTACTCCATATAAAACAGTCTATGACTATGACCCTCTTACCATCATTAACTATGGGCCTTTTCCCTCTCCGATTTCAGTTGTGGGTCAACAACTACTAGAGCAAGACCAAATTCTCAACGTATTGAAGCAACATTTGCAGAACTTTCAATCTCAAATGAAACTTAAGGCAGATCATCATCATCAACCAACAAAGTTTCAAGCTAATGATAAAGTATATCTACGACTTCGTCCCTATAGAATGAGATCTCTAGTAGGCAAGGTGAATGAAAAGCTCTCCCCAAAGTTCTTTGGATCATACAAGATCATCTCTTGTGGGTCAAACAACGTTCAAGCTTGATCTTCCACCATCATCATCAATCCATCCAATGTTTCATATTTCTCAACTGCAGCGAGCTTTATCAACCACCAACTCCCCTCAGCAACTTCCACCCCTCACTCAGCTCAAACATGGAATGGTAAGTAAAACCTCAATCAATTCAAGGGGTGCAGATGATACCTGCAAGCCCAGAAGTACTAGTGAAATGGGACGTGCTACTAAATCATGATTCTTTATGAGAGCTAGCCCACAATATTGCTTGCCAATTTCTAAAATTTCACGTAGAGGACCAAGTGAACTGGAGGGGGGGGAGTAATCATAGAACCCCACTACTAACCTATAGAAGGTGTAAGAAAGAGTCACATGCTCGTCACGTGAGAGGGGGTATAAATACAGCATGAGAAGGGGGGCTCTAGGGAGGAACATAGTATTTTGGAGAGGCGGGGAAACCTCTCGAAAATTTTCCCCCTCTGCTTTCCCTCTTCTTTCCTACTATCTGAATAGACTATCATCCCGACGCTTGTATTTTGCCTCTTCTATTTGACGCAGATTCAATGCTCCCTTAGAGGATCATATCAAGATCTAAGGTAAAGAAGTACAAATTCAAAAACATGATCAACTCAGCTTATAGTCCTGAACTATTGTCATTACCTATTTTGATCTTGCTCCAGCCACATCCTATATCCTCTTGCTACACCATGTAGTATTACCATCTAGAATATACTCTTTTAACACAAAGCCACTACTGAACATAAATTAGATGCAGAAAATGCAATTTCAGCCTCAGAATAAAAACATTGATGTCAGATCCCATCAAAATAAAACACTCCATGAGATTTATTTTTTTCAAAATTGCAAACCATATTAGGTGGTCAACAGACATGAAAGATTTTAAGTTCATGCAATCAAATGAATTGCATCTGTAAACATAACCAGGACAAATAAAATCATCCCCAAAACCCATGGAATTGAGAGAATGTGAGAAAAGAAGAACATGAATCAGCCGGCAGCATTTTCCGTATCACTGTCAATTTATCAGATTGGCGAAAAAGAAGAGACAAGCTGATAACGTGCAGAAAAAGAAATTTTAAAAAAAGGTTATAACAGGCAAGGACTTACAGGAACCGTAGAAGAACCTTGAGGTGTTGGAGGGAAGTAGATGGTAAAGGTCATCGAGCAGCCGAGGGTTGGGCTGAAATGCTTGTACCTCCTGTTGAAGCCGCCGAACACCTTTGCGCTGCTGATCAGCTCTGCCGGAGGAAGTGCAGCACTAGCGTCCATAGCTTCTACAGTTCTTCACGATTCCTCACTCGTTTCTAGGCCTGACAACGCAAAGAAGAGGCGAGAGGGGATAAGGAATGATGCGGGGAGAGATTCACAAGTTTGAGATCAATCTCAGCGACAGCCATTCATCTATTAGACACTCCATTCAGAAAAAGATAATTAATGTTGTCGTGAAAATGGAAATTCAACACAAGCTAGTCCACCGGCGGTTGAGAAGCAAGCTCAGCACGCGTCCGCAGAACCCCCAGCCAACTGACTACTTCGTCATACTGGAGAGTGCCAGATCTCCAGCAAGCCACCGGCTCAAAGACCCGCGCCGAGGCAGGCAACCTACTCCCTCCTCGCGAGCTCTTTGTCTCCAGAACCATAAGTCGAAGAAGGCAGCCTATTGCGATGAAAAACCCTCGAAACAAGATGCCAGGCAAAAGGAAGAGAGCACCGGACGCCCGCCGGCCACACCCAGCACGCGGGAAGCTACACGCGATCACCCCAGAAGCTGCCATGAATGGAATGTGAAGGGAAAGAGGCGGAGGGCTTACCTTCACCTGCCGTCGCCCCCTCTCGATCAGTCGCTCTGCTCTCACTCCGCCACCTCCAATGCCGGAAGAGAAGAAGCCCGCGACCACCAGAGCTGAGCCAGGGTCTGGCGTGACACCGTCCTGTAGTCTTCTCCCGCAAACAGTTGGGCAGACCAAGCGATATTAGTTTTTTTTTTTTTTTCTAAGTATACTCTCCATAAATATGTCATTAATTTAAGAAATTATTTGTTGAAATAAAAAACCTAAATTAACTATATATTTATCGAGAAGAAAAAATATATAACTAAAATTAATTCGTAAGACCTAATTTATATCTGCTTTATTTATAATTTTATTATCAAAATTCGGTAAGTATGCAATTATCAAAAGTAAGTGGACCCTCTCTCTCTTCTACTTAAAAAAATTGAATAACATCTTCTAGAAAAACAATGAAATGTTGTGTATATTCTCTAAGAGCATGATAGAGAGTGGGGACCACTACAGAGATTTCCCATTTTTTTAATTTTGAGTCTTGAAAAATTGGATTCCAAGAGATTTTGCATCACATTTTTTGCTATTTTGTGGCACACTAGATTCTCAAAACATAGTTTGTACCACCTCCTATAGAATTGATGCTGAAGCATTAACGATGTGTTGTCACTAGAGAAAATGACTAGAAATGATCCAATTTACAAACCCTTATAGATAATATATTGCCTTATTGGACTATAGCACCAATTATTAAAATACTATAATTATAAAAAAAATAAGTATATTTCACTTTTTTATTAGTAGATAAACAAGATACTATGTGATCTATAATTTTTGGGCATCTCCCCTTTTTACTATGAGATTTCTTTTGACTCGATTAATAAAAATTAGACTTTTTAGCACCTCCCACAAATCTCATGGTGAAGCATTAAGGATGTGTTGTCATAAGACAAAATGACTAGAATGATCCAATTTACAATCCCGTATAGATAAGATATTCCTTTATTGGATTAAAGCACCAATTATTAAAATATGATAATTATACAAAAAAAGTATATTTCTATATAAAAATATTATTAAATTTTTTATCAATGATTACTAAGATACGATGTGATTTTTAATTTTCCGCTCTCTTCCCTTTTTACTATGAATTTTCTTTTGGTTCAATTGCAAAAACTTTTACTTGTAAGCATTAATGTGTAGAATGAAATGATCTCTAAATAGTAAAGGTTTTATCTTATAGTTAATATCGTAAGAAAATGGTATAAATGCTTGGTAATAAATAATTTTAATCCAAGGGTTTCCATATCACCATATTTAAGTGTAAATTTTGGATTAATGAGGGTAAATGAGGTTAGAACAAGTCTCAAGAATAATTGAAGTATGGTCATTGCATGTCTTAATATGCATCTGCTTTTCAGTTCTATTTCTCCCTAAAAGTAACCTTCTAGCTCATTACTCAACTCAACTACCCTTTTTGAGTTGAAAAGGTTGAGTGAGCAAAGCAACAAACCTAATTTCAAATGATTTTTTTTCCAAAGTTATCATTTGATTAAATGCCCATGTTGTTCTAACCTTTATTATCATTAGATTAATATTCAAATTTATCATTTATCAGACCTATTATGGTTGACAATTGTAGAACTAATAGGATAAGCATTACACTGTGAATTGACAGTATATTGTTTCATATTTTTGTTTGATGTTCAAAGCTAAGAGATATGCATACATAGAGGAAGTTACTCGTTGAAATTTTTTCAAGGGTTTAATAAGAACTTAAATCTTCTGTCACATTTCCTACATTTACTCATTGAACTTAATGTTTTCAGGTACCTTACAAAACTTCTCTATCTCAAGTCAATTACTATCAAATAGAAAAATAAATCAAATTGATGTAAAAAAATGTTACATGATATGAACTTCCAAACTGATTCTAAAAACTATCACTACATCATGGGGTTGATGACTATTATAGACACCAAGTTTCTTGATCTCAAATATTTTTGCTTGGGAAACCCTATTGTCTCCCATGTCAATATAGTTTTTGGAATTGACATGCTTGAGAAAACTTTTTACTACTTTTGGAATTGACATGCTATTGAAGTGACAAAGAAGATACACTTATTAGCACTTTTGAGTTGAGTGTTGAGGAACTCTTCAATTAGTGAATAACTATTGATAAGTTTTAGAAATTATAAAAAAATTATTTACAACGTTTTTTCTTTGAAACTCGACACAATTTATTACAATAACCGAGATTTTACTACCATCAAAACCAATTTGCGAAACACTCGAAACCTTTGATCTCTGAATGTAAAAATAATAGACGGCCACGTTTTGATCCTCTCTGAGCAATTTCGATATGCCAATGAAATGGAATCATGAGAAACTCGTAATATTCACAAGTCTGTCATTATATTTGGTGTTTCTGGAATCTATTGTTCTCCACTTTAGCGGGGTAATCTTTGTTGACCTTATGAAATGGCGATCTAAGAAATGAACGGGCGAATTGCCATGCTGTACTGACCTCGTTGTGATGATCACAGAGAGATATGATCCATCCTGCATCCTGTACCATGATAGCCGCAGTCACATTGCCACATGCAGAGTTTTAGGAGGGGCGATTCCCTGCACTGTTCAGACCTCGAAAGAAGTTGAAGCAAGTGACAGAGTGGGGAGAGCCTCCTTGCTGTTCCTCTTCCTGACCTTCTTTGCACTGGGAGGGGAAGGAGGGGCGCGCTTCCTGCTTTTCTTCGCCTGGAACGGGGCGGTGACGGCAGAGTCCGCGCTGTAATTGGCGGTGGCGGAGCAGGCGACGGCCATGGAGTCCTCCAAGGCATCCTTCGCCGGCTCCACTTTCTTGACGGATTTCAGAGGGCACTCCTGCCATCCAATGTACTCGAGGTCCCTTCGAACCTCCTCCACGGTGAGGGGATTGGAGGGGGTGATGCATTCGTGAACCGTCGATCGCGCCGCCTGCATCAGTTCAATTCCCGCCACGGCGCGGGCCATTTCCACCTACTTGCAGGAACAAGATGAAATCGAGAGGATGGAAAGCCGAATTCCTACTGTGGCTGGAAGTGGATGGATGAATCTGAGAAAATAAGAGAGGAGGTCCGGACGGAGCCTGGCGAGCATTACCTTGGTATTTGTTGACCGAGCGAATCCGTGCAAGTAAATGATCTGCCGCAGAGAAATTCGCTGATCAGGTACAGCCTTAACGAATGCTAAAGCGATTGAGGAAGAAAATAACAAATCATTGATAGGAGTCCTCGTCTTTTTGAACTAACTATGGGCGAAGCAGATCTCAGATCTTCATGATCTGCGTAAGATCTCCAAGAATATGAGAAACGCAGAGCGAAGCAGCAGCCTCCTGAACAATCAGGAAGCTGGCTACGCCACCATTACGGAACCGAAGAAGAGAATTCGGATCATCTCTGCAGAGTAGAGAAGACTAACATACCTCGTCTAGCTGCTCTCTGAGGAAATCATGCCGGTCGGGATTGTTGCAGAAGTGGATGTAATCTTCGAGGCAGAGCTTCTTCTTCTTCTTCCCGCTTCCAGAGACTCTCTTCACCATTCTCCTCTCTCCCTCGCCTCGTCCTCCCCCCTGCCCGATTCAGGAGAGGATAACTCGTCTCCTTTGCAGGAGAGAAGATGAACTCTGTTAGTATCTAAACCCCTGCGGGGCCGTTGGTGCGCGCTTCTCGCGGTTTCCCAGATGCGTATGGTAAACCCGCGGCGGATCAGATGGTTAACTCTTCTCCGCTTCCCTTGCATGGTCACTCGCCCAGTTACCACAGACCTCTCTCTCTCGCCTGCCTTCCTCTCATCTCTCTCTAGCTCTCTGCCTACCTCTCTCTTGCTCTCTCTACCTCTCTCTCTCTTGCTCTCTCTACCTCTCTCTCTCTTGCTCTCTCTGCCTCTCTCTCTCTCTCGCTCTCTGCTTCTCTCTCTCTCTCTCGCTCTCTGCTTCTCTCTCTCTCGCTCGCTCTGTCTCTCTCTCTCTCTCCCGCTCTCTGCCTCTCCCTCTCTCTCTCTCGCTCTCTCTGCCTCTCTCTTTTGCGTTCTCTGCTTCTCTCACTCTCTCGCTCTCTGCCTCTCTCTCTCTAGCTCCCTCTGCCTCTCTCTCTCTCTCTTGCTCTCTTGCTCTCTTGCTCTCTCTGCCTCTCTCTCTCTCTCTCTCTCTCTCTCTCTCTCTCTCCTGCGCTCTCTCTGTCTCTCTGGCTCTCCCTATCACTCGCTCGCTCCCTGCCTCTCTCTCTCTTGCTCTCTCTTTCTCTCTGCCTCTCTCACTCTCTCGCTCTCTGCCTCTCTCTCTCTTGCTCTCTCTGCCTCTCTCTCTCTCTCCTGTGCTCTCTGCCTCTCTCTCTCTCTCTCTCCTGCGCTCTCAGCCTCTCCCTACTCTCTGCCTCTCACTCTCTCGCTGTCTGCCTCTCTCTCTCTTGCTCTCTCTGCCTCTCTCCCTCTCTCTCCTGCGCTCTCAGCCTCTCCCTCTCTCTCCTGCGCTCTCAGCCTCTCCCTCTCTCTCCTGCGCTGTCTGCCTCTCTCTCTCTCTGCTCTCTCTCCTGCGCTCGCTGCTTCTCTCTCTCTCTCGCGCACGCGCTCTCTGCCTCTCTCTCTCTCTCTGCTCTCTCTCTCTCCTGCGCTCGCTGCTTCTCTCTCTCTCTCGCGCGCGCTCTCTCCTCCCCTCTCTCTCTCTCCCCTTCTGTCCCTCTCCCTCGCTTCCCTATCTCTCCCTTGCTCTCTCTCTCTGCCTCTCTCTCTCTGCCTCTCTCTCTCTCTCTCTCTCTCTCTCTCTCTCTCGCATCTCTAGCTATCTTCCTCTTCCTCTCGTCTATCCCCTGGAAAGACCAAGAGCAAGAGAATGCTGCCTGCATCTCCGAGAATCAGGTGCAAGCTCATGAACAGTTCTTCCTCCACCAGACTCCGGCGGAGGAGACCACCGAGAAGGAATCCCAGCCGCATCCCGCTCCTCGACGAACTGAAATCGGCGGAGACCACCAGCGCCGCGATCGATCGCTTCACCGCGGCTGAACGCCACGAGCAGGATTATCCCGCCTGCTCCGCCCTCCTCTACCGTCTCGCTCGCGGCCGCGCCTTCCCGGAGGTCGACGACCTTCTCGGCTTCGTCCGATCCCGCCGAATCCGCTGCAGAGACACTTTGTTCAACGCCTTGATCGCTCACTATGGTAAGGCCAACCTGCCGGAGAAGGCCATGGAACTCTTCGACGGTATCCCTTCCTTCAATTGCCCCCCGAATTCTCCAACCCTCCAATCCTTCAACTTTTTGCTGAATGCCCTGGTAGAAGCAGACAAACTGCAGCTCGCCGAAGCCCTGTTCAGGCAGTCTGTGGCGGCGGGGGTCCGCCCGAACGCCGTCTCCTACAACATTCTCATAAAGGGTAGGTTGCGGATGGGCGGTTGGACGAGCGCGCATGAGATGTTTGATGAAATGCTTCAGAGACGAGTTCACCCGTCTGAGATTACTTACAACATATTGATTGGATTCTTGAGCAGGCAAGGCAGCTTGGACAGGGCGATGGCTCTGAAGGATGAGATGGTTCGCAGGGGGCTTCGGCCGAATGCAGTTACATATGCTCTGTTGATGGAAGGGCTGTGTTTGACGGGGAAGTATGATTCCGCAAAGAAGATGATGTTCGACATGGAATACTGGGGATGCAAGGTGAAGCTGGTGAACTATGGTGTGCTCATTACAGACCGTGCCAAGAAAGGGAGCTTTGATGAGGCGTGGGCGCTGGTCAATGACCTGAAGAAGAGGAAGTACAGACCCGACGTTGTCATTTATGGCATCTTCATAAACTATCTATGTGCTGAAGGGAGAGTGGATGAGGCCTACAAGATGTTCGTCGATATGCAGTTGGGAGGCTTGAAACCGAATGCAGCTCTTTATCGCATGATGATTGACGGGCTATGCAGGGCTCAGGATTTTGAGAGGGGCATTGGGGTGTTGAACGCAATGCTGTTGAGCAAGCACTGCCCAAGAGCAGAGACTTTTAGCTGTATGATTGTGGGGCTCTGTGGCAAGGGGAAGGTGGCAGATGCCCACTTCCTTCTGGTCGAAATGGAAAAGAGAAAGATAGGCTTGGATTATGATGGGTGGTCAGCTCTGATCCACGCTATCTGTGAGGAGCACGGGAATGGCATCAAGCTTCTCATTGAATTGGTTTTTAATATCGCATCAAGATGACCCAATGAGAATCCTGATGGTGATGATGATGTCCTTTGTCATTTTAGCGAGCAGAACTTTGTTCTCTCTGTTTCTAATGGTAAGTAGAATGAAATATCCCATTGTTTGCAGGTGGATGTGGAGGACGCCTTCCTATATCACAGTTGAGCAGACAGATATTATGCTATGTTATAGTTGAGACTGGAGATGGATTCATCTCACTGTCGATGATTACCAAAGCGGTTGTATCCTTGGTGGGTTTGCCTGGTGGAATGCGTTTCAAGGACCTCTTAGTATAGTTTGCTTTGGCAAGATTTTATAAAGATGGACGAAACAAGAGTCAAACGCATTTAGTTACCATGAGAAAAGGAGAACGTAGTAACAGCTGAGTGCCAGGAAATAGTGAAAATTGGGTTTCTTATCAAATTTATCAGCATCAGAAGGTAATCAATTACTAACACCTCTTTGTTCTCCTTTCATGGTGCTCCCATTTTAAAGTTTCTTTTGATGATCCCTCCCCTCTAATTGATCAAGGGAGAAATGAATCCTTCGCCATAGTTACCCTCATAGAAGACAAGGAAATCATTTGCTCCAAGCTGGATGACACCATTTCACTGGCCGTTATTTTCTGCCTTTTGGAATATACTTTAAAATGGGGGCTTATGAAGGCATGGTGGGTTTTCAGCCAAGAATTCTCTCTAGCTCTGCCTTCAACATGACCTAAAAAATGATGTGGTATAGAGGAAGGACAATCAAAGGGGCTACACATGGCTGGGGAAGCAAGATTAAAGGTGAGGTTGTAGTTGTCTTGGTTGCTTATATGCCTAAGGCCTATTATCATGGGGATCAGACTAAGTGTATGTAATCTCACTCTCTTGTGCCAGCCTCAACCACCACATTGCCAATGTTGAGTAGCCTTTCCAACATGCAGAATCATTTTTTGACCCAAAGGTGTGTATTCCTCTCACTTGGGAAGGTACACTTGCCAGGAGCCTCTCCTCTCAGGCCCTGGGACCCATTTCTCTTTTGTTGGGAAGTGCCCAAATGAGGCAGGTGGGCGTACAAGTTTCTGTGCCCAAGATCTTGATCTTCCATGCAATGGGTGTTACACCAGTCATATGATAGGACGGCTTTTCTGAATGATGCTCTTCATCTGCTGTAATTTCCCTACTGATGGGCTGATTTATATCTGAAAGCTTTTGTTAAGCTGTTTTATACCCATAGAGTACCTTCAATTCCTTGAGGCTTTGCCGTTTGGGCCTACCCCACCTTATCTGTTCCATGATCTACCAAAGTAGTTAATAATGTATGCTCTGTATGCATGTAAATAAATATAATAACATGATATCAAGCTTTAAATAATTTGAGAAAATTGGAAAAAAAAATGAGTGTTTTAAAAAAAATCCCATGCATCATAATTGAGCATGCTCTAAATTTCATCAATCTTAAACAAGAGAGAGTTTTTAAAATTTTACACAAACTTTTATATTGAATGGCTATCATAATGAGAATCAATAATGCGAAGGAAATTGGGAGGATAACTCAGCCAAAAGGGGAAGTATTGTATCAAAGTAAGGATATCTCAAAACCTTAAATTGCAGTTGATCCCCTATCATTGGTTTTTAATTGATAGACAAGATTTAATGACCACTAACGTCATTATTTTTCTTGAAATTCTCCAACAATGAAGGTAGTATTAATCCACTTTTGAGTCCTATGAAAGTCATTTCTAATTTTCTTCCATCAAAATATGTAGGTGTGAAATTTATTTCCCAAAATATTTGGAGAAAACATGGTCATAAGAAATGTTTCAAAACCATATAAAATGTATAAATTTTGCTTTCATCTAATGCCACCTCCAACCCTCGCATCCATTGAATGTTCAGTGTAGGTTTTTGAAATTGTGTCTAATATACTTACAGTCTCATTAATATTTTAAAATATCAATATTTTTATATAACTTCTTTCTCCATAGACTTCAACCATGAGCTCAGGTGGAGGTGTAGAGGAGAGGAGTGTAGGATCTATGCTTGGCACACATAGTAGCTGAGGCATTGGTCAACTATTGGTAGCTGCAACATCAGTAGGAGGTGTTGATAGGTGCTCCCATAGGGCGAGGCAGAGGTCAAAGTGGTGGAGATCATGCTAGAGGTAGGATTAGGGGCCATGGTGGAGGACGAATGGGCTGGCCACCACTAAGGCTACCAACATTATCACCACCATCACTAGAAGGGGCTCCTCAAGCATGAAGGATGAAATGTTTCACCTGTGGGGGGCCCCACTGACAAAGGAAATGTCCCAACAGCCAAAGCAACAAGTGGTTGTGATTCAACTCAGTCATAGAGCAATTATCGACCAATCAAGGAGAACATGCAACGAAAGGAGTAAACCCCAAGGTAAACATGTTTCAGTTATTGAACATGATAACCAAGCTCAAAATGGTGAACTCCATCATATGACCATTGGCGTGCATAGCTAGAGTGGTGCACACACAAGTGGGAGGTTGGTCATCCCACCTCAACTTCATGGTGATGCTCCTTAATGACTTTGGCACCATCTTGGGCCTAGACCTCTTTAATGTTACTCAAATTGTAGTCTTTGTTCATGTCCCCAGAGTGATGGTGCTTAGGGGATCTCAATTGAGCTTTGTCCTGATGCTCTCATTTCCAGCACAACCTAATGAACAAGAGGTGAGCTGGCTAAGAAAAGGAAAATTGATACATATCTTGTGCTTTTGCCAAATTGAGAATAAGAAATGTAGAGTTTAACATAGAACAACAAGAAAGAAGATGAAAAATAAGATAGGAAACTAGAAGGAACCTTAGAATAGCTTGGGGGATTTTCAAGAGGCCTTTGTCTCTCCAATAGACTCAAACAACTTCCTCCCCTTACTTAGGCCATTATAACCTTCCTCAAATGCTGACTTTTTCTCATATGTTGATATGAGTCTTAAATTGGCCTTTTTGGGCCCCAAGTTGATTGATTTGGGTTATGAGTTTACATGTTTGAGCTGTGACATCACTTGGTCATTGTATAATAAATCACACAAATCTAAAACTTATAAAACTAGAAAATACTAATTTTTAGATTTTTAGAAATATTTTAGATTAAATAAATTAATTATAATTTGATAAAAGATTTCAAAAATAGTAAAAAATTTCTAAGTCAATCACAAAGATGTAACATAATATTGAGTAATATTTTAGATTTTTTTAAAACTAATTTTTTATAAATTTTAGACTAAATGATGGATATATAATATATTTAAAATTTCATGAAAAAGAAAACTAAGGGTGCTGATCTCAGCACCTAATGAACATGAATTAGATAAACAAAGTTTCACCTGTCAATTTTTATGTAAGTAATTAAAGATGATTTAATTAGTCAAATTAAGACCTATAAAATTCAAAAGAATTAAAATTGAATGAAGAATAATTGTGAAATTTGAAATCACATAAAATATTACTAAATAAAGTAAAAATTAAGTTAAAAGTAAGAAATATAGAGTTTTAGCTTCGTGATAGTAATTGTTAGAATTTTGTGTGTTCGAAAGGATTATCATATAATGTCTATAGCTTCAAAGTTTTTCTCCTTAGACATATACAACGTGGACAATCTATAGATTTTCTTACAAAATTTAGAAATAAATGAAGTGGGTCATTGAATCATCTTTGGTGGCCATCACTCGATAGATAGCACTTAGTAAGGTAAAAAATGATGACATTGTGGTTCTCTAATGACTACCACCCAATAGAGATGAGTTGAGTGGAGATACAACACATCTTAAGGAGTTTTATCCTCAAGTTCGTGTAGTAAAAAGAGGCTCTTCATTGCATTTGGTATGTTCTCAGGAAGTGATAACTCATCTCTTGGTAGATTGTTTTCTTCTTGATGATGGTTTATTCATTGATTAATTGGAGATGATTTACTCAATAAATTCATAATCTTTTTTTCTATAATTGTTCAACAATTATAGTAACAATGTTTCACAAATTATATTGACAAAATTTTCATTGATGATTGAGTGATTTTAATAGCTTAAACGTTCACTAAAAATATACACAAAAATCATAATTTAATCATATAAAAATATAAGTTTTGATTTTGAGGATTCAAACTCTCATTGATTCTTTCTTTGAGAGAAGTGAAATAAGTACACAAATACCCTTATAAAGTGATGTCACAAGGGTATCTCTTTTTGATAAAAAAAATGTATTTAGGTATTAAAATTATTAAAATTTAATGGGGTGGCTATGATTGTTGATTTAGTCCCACATCAGTTATATGCTGAGTTTTGGAGTAGATATATAGTGATACAATATTTGGTAATCAATGTGTCCCTTTTTGTGTGTATTATCACATTTTACCCCACGCTCAGTTGGCCATTGGTGATGTGGAAGGAGAGTGATGCACATGTAACCCTTATTAGTCTATCCTTAGTTGCTCAAGCCTTTGCTCATAGCTCCACTTAACTATACTTTTGACATACTTGATATTTACAAGCTCAACTAGCTATTGGGTTTCTCTCTTTTTCTATCTTTTTATTTTATTTATTTCTCTTTATTTATCTCAAAAATAAGGTTATAAAAATTATAAAAAAATTAAATTTATACAATTTGTCAAAAATTTACATTAACTAATTAAAAATTATTTTTCATATTTTAAAATAAATATAAGTCTATTTATCATAATTTAAGACTAAATTATATTATTAATTAGTTATTAACTCATGATAATAAAGATTTATCAAGTTGGTCTCTTTCTCCTTTAAGAATATGTGTAAATTAGGGCCATAGCAATACCCCCTCCTCTTTGAGTACCTTGTCCTCAAGGTGGAACTCTGAAAATTATTTTCAAAATGAGGTTGAACAACTCCTAGGAAACTTCTTTAATAGGTAATATATACACATGATTAGAACTTTAGTCTTTAAGGTGGATGATAACATAATATTTTTAAGTAAAATAAGATAAAGGTGTGAATTATTATCATTATTTCATGAATAAAACTTATAAAAATATTGCTATTAAAATATTTATAATCGTATTTCTATTTTAAATAGTTTTTGGAGTTTAATTATTTATTTGTCTATATAGGATCAAAAGAAATTTTTGGCTATAAGATAGAGGTAATTTTGTCTTTATGGATGGGTCTAACCTAGATCATCACATCCCCATCTACAACCACTAATTTTTGGATATATGTTTTATGTACTTCCTCTCCCCACAAACATTCTTCACCTCCCCCTCCTCTTCTTGTCTTCTCTTCTCCCTTCTCTTTCTTGAGCTCTCTTTCTCTTTGCATTCCTTTTTTCTCTCTCAATCTTTTGGTTGTGTGATAGGTAGGAAATCTGTCCTCACCTCTTCCTTAATATTTTAGATCTTTATTTTGAGTTTTTACTTAGTTTTCATGACTTTCTTGCTCCCCCTTTTGCTCTCACTTTCCTTGTGACAATGAGAGTTCTTCATGTCTCTTACATTTTTAACATGTTTTTCCCTTCCTTCTATTTCCTCTATTTCATTTTGTTAGTTTTTTCATGTTCTTAACCTTTCATACAACTGTTTTGACATTCTCCAATTGTTGTTTCATTTTAACTTTTTGGTCTCTCCCTCGCATTGGTGATCTATCATGCTAGTAAGTTTTCTCTTTTTTGGAAAATTTTCTCCCTTTCTCCCTCTTTCTTATCTTCTTCTGATTATTTTCTAATTATAAATTATTATTTTATTTTATTTAATCATCCTTCATCATTTTTATTGACCATTGATGTGACTTAGTCATTGTATAGTAAATCATGTAAATTTAAAATTTATAAAACTAGAAAATATTAATTTGTAGATATTTAGAAGTATTTTTGAACAAATATATTAATTATTATTCAATAAAACTTCTTAAAATAGTGATAATTTTTCAGGTCGATCACAAAGATGTAATATAATATTAGGTAATTTTCAAAAAAAAATCAAAGAATACAAATTTTTATAAATTTTATACTAAGAAATAAAAATAAAATATATTTAAAATGCATGAAAAAGAGAAATAAGGATACAAACGTCAAGATGATGTTAACACCCGATGAATATGAATAGAGCGGAAATAGAGTTATGCTCGATGATTCTTATGTAAGTAATTATAGATAATTTAATTGATCTAATCAAGATCTGTAAAAGGGGAGAGAATCATAGTTGAATGAAATATAATTTGGTAAATTTAAATCACATAAATTATCATTAAATAAAATAAAAATTAAGTTCAAAGTAGAAAAATAGAGTTCTAACATCGCGGCGGTGATGCGTCAGCGATGTACTAGAATCTTAAACGTTCGGGAGAATGGTCGTATAATGTATATACCTTCAAAGGCTCTCTTTAGACAAAGACAATGTTAACAATCTCTAGATCTCTTTGTAAAGTTTAGAGATTAAGAGAATGAGTCGTTGAATTGTCTCTAATGACTGTCACTCAGTGGAACAAAAAAATAATAATTTTGTGGCTCTTAGATAGTTGTCACCTAATGGAGAAGAGCTAGATGGAAGTGGGGTACGTGTTAGAGAACTTCATCCTCAAGTCTGTGTAGTAAGAGGAAGCTCTTCATCATATTCGATATGCTCTCAAGAGGTGGTGACTCATCTCTTGATGGATCGTCCTCTTCCAAATAATGACTTGTTTGTTAATCAATCAAAATTGATTTACTCGATAATTTATAATTCTTTATTATAAATCGTTCAACAATTTTAATATTCATACTCTGCAAATTACATTGACAAGATTTTTATCAATGATTTAATGATTTTAGTGACTTAATCGTTCACTTGCGATCTGTAGGAAAGTTGTGATAATCAGATAAAAAAAGGAGTTTTGGCTCTAGGAGGATTCAAACCTGTGCCGGTTGCCCGCCTACATGAGGGAGATTGAGATAAGTGTTCTAATGCCTTTATCAAGTGACATCATCATGGTATATCTCTGTTATAAGTAAGGAGTAGTTTAGTTATTAAAATCTTCGAAGCTTTTCAAAGGAAAGTGTGATGTGGGTTTGGTCCCATGTCACTTATATGTCAAAGTTTTGGGTGAATATATAATAAGAGCACATTTTCAAGAAATGAATCCCTTTCTCTTAGACGTACAACCACTCCTTACCTCACAGCCGACTGGCCATCGGTGATGTGGAAGGGGAGTGATGCACATGTGCTCCCATCAATCCAAGTCGCTCAAGCCCCTACTCACGGCTCCCCTCGACTACACTTCCGACCCACTTGCAGGCCTAGTTAGCTGGTAGGTCCCCCCTTTTTGCTATATTTTTATTTTTATTTCTTTTTCTTCATTTCTCTCAAAAATAAGACTATACAAATCATAAAAATTCATAAAAAATCACATAATTAGTAAAAAATCATATTAATTAACTACAAATCATAAAAATTCATAAAAAATACATAATTAGTAAAAAATCATATTAATTAACTAAAAATCACTTTTTATAATTTCAAATAAATATAAGCCTAGTTATCATGAGTTAAGGCTAAAAGTATATTATTTATTAATTATTACCTCATGATAATGAAGACTTATGAATCATAAATTGTGTTTTTTTCTCAAGACAATGAGAAACTCTCTCCTATTTGTCCTTACCTCTTCTATCTCCTATTGCCCCTCTCTTCTCTCCCTCTCTCTCTCTAACCGCCCTTACCTCTTCTCTCTACTATTACCCTCTCTTTGCTCTTTATACCATCTTCGTCCAACATAAATAAGTCTCTTCATAGTCTAATGGATCTAGTGTGATGTCATCGACTAGTGAGAGATAGTGATGATTCATCTTAAACTCTAACTTCTATTTTTATTTATTCATTATTTTTAATAATTTTATTTATTTATAAAATAAATATTTTATTATAAATATTTTAATTTGATTATTTTATAAATTATTTACCTTTGTAGAACACAAGATTTGCATTAAAAATAAATCAAATGATCATTCTAGTTTCAACTTAGACTCACCTAGTATTTCTTAATTATATTGTAAGAATTTGATTACAAGTTTAAAATTGAGTTCATCATTTAATCGATAATGATTCATGTGCATTAATGGACTATCGTGTTGAGTTCATTGTGCAATACCCTCTAGTAAGGGCTGACTACATTTAAAAGCTTCTAACGTCTTGAAAGCCCAAAGTATTGTAGAACTAATTTTTGATTTTTCCCGTAAGGATCTTATCATGTATGCCCTCAACAGTGTAAATTGTGCATCTCTTACATGTTAGACAGTGTTAGTTTTCATCTGGTTTTGGGCCCTCTTGTTATAGTATTTGACTTGGTTGATGGTTTTTCATGAGCCCATTTTGTTAGTCTTGAGGTTTCTAGAATGACCCCTATGAAGTTACATAGAACTCTTTTAACATTATAGTTACTATGGGAGATTGAGAATTTCTCATGAAGCATCCTTTATACCACAAAAGTCCACAGTGGAGGGAGTAATGAATTTTGGTGGTGTCTCTATTTAAAAGAGCTTGGAATAAATAGGTTAATTAATGGTTGGTGATAACACATGAATAATGAGTTAGAAACACACATTAATTAATTAAATTTTTGTATTTTGGACATTATTTGGTAGTTGATCACTAGCAATGCATGATTTTAACATGTCTTGGGGCACATTAACATTTTAGATATTTTTAAAATTGTTTTTGGATTATTCTTCTCATACAAATTTGATGCCATATTAAATAGGATCATTATGGATATTGAGTATACTTTTGGGATCTCTTTAATTACACTCTATTATTTTTGGATTAGTGATTTATGAATCAGGCCTCAAGCATTTCATTTATGGCTGGGATGCAGCCATCTGACCATTGTACATAGTAGTTAAGAGGCAGCTCTTGTGGCAGGAGAGACATCCTACAACCAAGAAAAGAAGTCACTTGAGAAGGAGGACTCACTAATCCAATGGTTGAGGGCAACTAGATCAAGAGACCACTCATCCATTGGCAAGAGACACCAAAGAGAGGAGATCTACTGATCTAATGGTGTGTAGCCTTGCTGAAGGCCCGAAGTCACTAGAACCTTTTGACGGTTTATCTCACATGAGTGAGAGGAGAGAAGGGGGGAGTCACCCTATCATTTGGGGGAAAAGTATGTTATGAGGAAGCTCTCATTGTAGGAGACATCATGATCTTTGAATCAACCTAGAGGGGAGAGGTTTTCTAGAGCTCTACATCGCACAAGTGCAAGTGTGTCATGATAGGAATTGAAGTTCATCTCACCTAAATGAGGTCTCTCCCACTACTTTAAGTGAACACCTCTACTTGGCAAAAATAGAGGAGTGGTGATACCTAGTCTTGAGATAAGTCTTCATTATCATGAGTTAATAATTAATAAATAATATAGTTTTAGCCTTAACTTATGATAAGTAGACTTATATTTATGTGCAATTTTGAAAAGTAGTTTCTAGTTGATTAATGTGATTTTTTGGCTAATTATGTGATTTTATGTGAATTTATATAAGTTTTATAATCCTATTTTTGAGATAAATGAAAAAAAAGAAATTAAGGGGGGGGGGGGGGACCCGTCGGCCAATCAAACCCATAAGTGGGTTAAAAGTGTAGTCAAGTGGAGCCTTGAATAGGGGCTCGAGCAGCTATGGGCTGATGGGGACACACTTGTGCATCACTTTCTTTCCACATCATTGGTGACCAACCAGACCTTGGGCAAAAAGTGGTGGTACACATGAGAGAAAGGGACTCATTGATTCCCAAATCTCGTATTGTTATATATTCATCAATAATTTTATGATTCTCAAATCCTGGTCACACCTTTCCTAAAATGATTTTATGATTTTTGTACCTTAAATACCTCTTATTTATCATAAAGAGGTAGTATGATGACATCATTTTATAAAGGTATTTGTGTACTTATTTCACTCTCTCTCATATAGGCAGGCGACTAGTAAAGATTCAAATCCTACCATAGTCAATTTTTATCTAATTAAATCGTGATTTTTTTGCAGATTGTCAATGAGTGACTAAGCCGCTAGAATTGTTCAATCATCGGCAAAAATCTCATCAGATGATTCACAAAACATCGTTACTAAAATTATCGAGTAATTCGTGATAAAAAGATTACGAATCTATTGTGTAAATCATCTATGATTGATCAACGAACAAGTCATTATCGAGAAGAGGAGAATCTGTCGAGAGACGAGTCGTCATCTCTTGAGAGTGTACTAGTTGTGATGAAGAGCCTCCTCTTGTTATATGGACCTCAAGATGAAGTTCCCTAACTTGTGCCATATTTCCATTGAGTTCATCTTCATCAAGTGACAACTGCTAGAGAGTTGCAAAGTTGTCATTTTTCTACTTTACTGGGTGACAGCTGCCAAAGATGATTCGATGACCCATTTCATTGATCTTGAAATTTCACAAGAAGATTAAGAGATTATTCATATCATCTTTGTCCAAAGAGAGCCTTCGAGGTCGTAGACACTACATGACAATCCTCTCAAATGCTCAAGATTCTAACGTATTATTTTCATGATGTTAGAACTTTATTTTATTATTTTCTAATTAATTTAACTTTTACCATCATTTTTTAGACTTCGAAAGGAGATCTAGTGAATGCCTAAGTCGTATATGTCTAAGGAGAGCCTTTGAGGCCATGGACATCATTCGATGATCCTCCCGAACATATAAAATTCTAACAATCATTGTTGCAAAACTAAAACTCTATTTTTCCTACTTTGAATTTAATTTCTGTTTTATTTAGTGATAATTTGTGAGATTTAAAATTTCCAAACTATTCTTCATTCAATCACGATTTCTTTTGGCTTTTATAGATCTTAAAATTTTTGTTTCATATAATTTGTGTGATTTTTCTGACAATTGAAACATCTTATATCATTTTTGTCAAATTGAATTGAGCATATTTTAGATATCTGATTTTTAATTTTAGTCAAATTTAAATTTCTCAAAATAATTAAGAATATATATTTTACTAAATCAAAAACTAATCTTCTTGACCTTAAGGCACCTTTCGAACTTGAATTAATCCACAATAGAACCACTAACCTTTTTTCTGCATTGCATATTCCTTAAAATTTCAATTATATTTTTATTCTAATGTAGACTTGGTAAGGGTCAAGAGAGGTCAAGGTAAGGGTTGAATTTTGATTAATAAAAGTCAGAAGGAATTTTGGAGTGGATTTGGACTAAATCACAAGAAAGTTCACTTTGGAATAGGTGAAAATTTTGAAATCCCACTCTAAGCTTTTACTTGTTATTCTATGTTATAGTGACTTTTTTGAAACTTTGGTCAATCATAAGTGCTGTTTATCCATTGGAGAATTGGCTGAAATTTTGATTATTAATTCTAGTGGGTAGAAGATATTTCTATTGGCTAT